GTAGTTTGTCAGAGAAAGGCCAAAAAGATAGATTTTGCGTTCGCAAAAAATTTGACTCACTTTACCACTGGAAAACTTATTACATGACCAGATACACCACCAACCCATCTTTTGCGTGCAAGAAATGTGATGCCATCAATGACGATCTAAATAATGCTCAAATCCAATTAAAGATCAAACATTAATATAAGTGTTCATATTTTATCTTGGCACCACTAGTAAATCGATCATTGAAGTAACGTTGGTTTTACATAAACATATTTTGTCATAGTCATCGACAAATTTTTATGTGCCATACTCGGTTCAGTACAAATAGGTATTTATAAGTTCACACCGATACTGGCCACATTCCTTCAACTATTACAGTGTATGACAAAAGTCTGAAAAGTCGAGGCGTAAAAGATGAAGACCATTATGGTAATATGATAATCCGGAAAACAATGGCGCCTATCGACTCTATTTTGCGTTATGGCGGCATCCGAATGGATAATAGGCCGTCCACATCACCTTCACCAGCTACATCTAAGTGAGCATTGTGGATAAGAATCTGGAAGACGGGTTTAAAACCCGAAATTATAGCATGTTCCTGGTAGTATTCGACAGTTGTGGGATGCTGGTTTTGAATGTGAGACGGCAAATGTTACACTACTGGATATCTATACGACTGGTTATAATTATCTCATCAATTTAAATATTTTCTGCGAGGGTATATGGGGGCTAACGCCAAAGTGGACAAATTCGTTCATCTATTGCCTACTTAACATCGAGAATATTTGGCTAGCCATCGTTCAACTTTGGCGATACTACATTTGGAGTATTTAGATAACCCCCATTTAAAGTTTCCTTGGATCGACGCATAAGGAGATAATCTCACTGCAGTGAGAAGACTTTCCTCACCAGCACCATCACCACCAACCGCCATTCCTACCACACTTCCTTTTGTTTGTCTGTAATAAATATAATTTTATAATAAAAACAAAATTATAAATTCAAAATGGATCACAGTGAGTGGGAGTGTACCCCCATTCCATCATCTTTCAAGATACGAAGAAAAGGTGAGAGAGACTCGAATCTCCCTCAATCCTCCCTCACCATCTCAGCTCGCTTTTGTTTTTGTTGCAGCGGAGAAGGGGAGGACTTACCGCAGCAAGTACTCACCCCACAAACCGCAGAACACGTCTGAGGATTCCCAGCAGAAAGCGGAACTCGACCGAGAACGTGACTGAAACGGAAAAGGTGAGCAGGGAGAGAGAGTAAATATCCTCTCAATCCCTACCCAACTCCTCAACATTTTTTATGCAGTGGCGGGCAAGGGGAGGATCCGCAGAAGCAGATCCCGAGGCCGCATAACACGCCGCCACTCTAACCCAGGCACCACCTCCACCTTCCATGCTGCCAACTTCCCACGGCCGACGTTGCCGAAGAGGTACGAGTGTCGCGTGAAGCGAGACCCTGAGACACCTGCCTGGCGCCCCCTACCACTTGAGGACGTTGTCATCTTCAGGAGGAGACAACATTCCTTGTAGTTTTTTTATAAAATAAATATTTCTACTGATGTTTTTTTTTGCGGGGGATGAGAGAAAGCAGAGAGAAAAGTAGAAAAGCAGAGAGAAAAACAAAACAGAAAAGAGAGAAGAAAGAAAGTACAAAACAGATGGAAAGCAGGCACAAAAGAAGGAAAGCACAAGACAGAGAGAGAGAGAAAGAAAGGAAGCATAAAAGATAGTGAGAGTGAAAGAGCACAAAAGAAAAAGATAGAGAGTGCAACAAAACACGAAAGACAGAGGGAGAGTGAAAGAAAGTGCAAACGAAAGAGAGAGTGAAAGAAGGCGCAAAAGAAAGAGAGAGAGTAATAGAAACACCCCGTGTCACATGAAAATGTGAACGAAACAACCAGTCTCTCCCTTCAATGGCATGTGATGAATAAGCAACCACTTTTCCCTCCGCCACACATGCAGATGTCCATCACCAGTCAATTCAACCCCTGGTTATCCCTGCATTAGAAGTTGGACATGACACGGGAAGCCAGGAACACATTTTGCATTCGTGGTCCAAACGTCCAAATTATGAAGATCGGGATATCCAGGTCTTAGGAGGGGAGCTTCACCACCTGCCCCTCTCAGATCTTGATGTGCTTAGGATATGTGGTAGTGCCCCATGAGTGTACTAAAACCCTGAAGTGGTTTGACTCCATGGCCACAGTTACGCCCGCCACACCCACTCAAAGGCGCCAAAAACACGAACAAATCCATGTTCTCACTTGTTCAAAAACCCTCGCCAAAAATCCAATTTTGCTCGGATTTTGGTAAAATTTACATTTTTGTAATCCCAGATACTTGCTTGATCATATCCAGTAGCAATCTCAATTTTTCGAAATTTTGAATTTTTTCGAATAATTCATCAGCCCGAAAATGCCCGAAAATTTCGAGAATTTCAAAAAAGTTGAGATTGCTACTGGATATGATGAAACAAGTATATGGGATTACAAAAATGTAAATTTTATCAAAATCCGATCAAAATTGGATTTTTGGTGGATTTTTGAAGTTGGTAACTTTTGTGGTTTTCATCCCTTTGAGTGGGTGTGGCGGGCGCAAATGTGGCCATGGAGTCAAACCACTTCAGGGTTATAATACACTCATAGGACCCTACCACATATGCAAAGCACATCAAGATCTGAGAGGGGCAGGTGGTGAAGCTCTCCTCCTTAGTTCAGTAGATCGTCCCACGCAATTTATGTCATCGTGCAGTTCGATGCAGGAATTCGCATCTCCATAAATTCTTATGGACCTCAAATTTCTTCTTCGCAAAGGAAGATAAGAACATGCGTTACCCTTGATCTTAACGGTTATTGACTCGTTACTTGTGAAGATTACAATACAAAAATCTAATTATAATTGTTGAAAATTATAATTCTAGAAACATGTTGGAGGATATAAATAGGAATTTGAATGTTGTCTGCATAAAATTCTGACATATGCTTGCATACTATGTATGGACCAAAATATCTTGCCAACCCTTTACATCATTGCTTCATCAGGTCCTTCTCAAGGTTCAAATATTAGTTAATTACCAAGTTACTCAAAAATATTTTTAATGCATAAACTTTGTTATGTATTCATATGGATTTAAATTATACCTTAACTAGCCTATAAGCCCGTCTTAAAGACGGTCCAGAATTAAAGTTTTAAGCCAAAAAACATAAATCATTAGATGAAAGCATTATATAATGTGATGTATTAATCTGTGTCGAAATTATAATACCAGAGGAAAAATACTACATCTAAATATATTAAACCTACAAAAAGTCCCGTTCAATATTCTACGACACTCCTGCATCCTGATTGGTTGCCGGCCTTCTAAGGAATTTTTTTAACGTTGCTAAGGACTTCTTTAACTTTGCTAAGGAATTTTTTAACGTTGCTAAGGAATTTTTTTATCGTTGCTAAGGAATTTTCTTAACGTTGCTAAGGAATTTTTTAACGTTGCTAACGAAATTTTAACGTTGCTAAGGAATTTTTTTTAACGTTCCTAAGGAATTTTTTAACGTTGTTAAGTAATTTTTTTATCGTTGCTAAGGAATTTTTTTATCGTTGCTAAGGAGTTTTTTAACGTTGCCAAGGAATATTTTTAATGTTGGTAAGGAATTTTTTTAACGTTGCTAAAGAATTTTTTTAACGTTGCTAAGGATTGTGTTTAACGTTTTAACTTTTTCGAAATTGTAACTGAAGATGTACCCAAACTTGTACCCTACCTTGTACCAATTGTTGTACAATTGTTGTACCAATTGTTGTACAATTGTTGTACCAATTGTTGTACAATTGTTGTACCAATTGTTGTACAATTGTTGTACCAATTGTGTACCGATTGTTGTACAATTATTGTATCAATTGTTGTACCAATTGTTGTACTAATTGTTGTACAAATTGTTGTACCAATTGTTGTGCCAATTGTTGTACAATTGTTGTACCAATTGTTGTACCAATTGTTGTACCAATTGTTGTACCAAATGTTGTACCAAATGTTGTACTAAATATTGTATCAAATGTTGTTCCAAATGTTGTACCAATTGTTGTACCAATTGTTGTACCAAATATTGTATCAAATGTTGTACCAAATGTTGTACCAGATGTTGTAACTCAAATTGTAACCATAATTATAGCCGTGCTGTGATTGGTGGAGCCAGCAAGCCGGCAATCAATCAGAACGCAGGAATGTCACGGAAAATTTCACGGGACGGACTTTTCGAAATTATTATATAGATTCTATTTCTTGATCACATTAGTCATCTCAAGTATTTAAGTAAAGTTATTAGGCAAACTGTAATCCATACCTTTTTGAAGAGTTCGACGGTTCGACGCTATTGGACTTCGCATTCTGTCAATTCCTTTCGTCACATTTTTTGAAACAGGGTCTAATAGGTTGAATACGAACACTCGGTTTAGTGAAATAGTTTTCAAACAATTGAAATGTTTCTGTAGGAAAGGATGAATAAATTTTGTTGGGGGCCTGCAAGCGCGAAACCCACCCAGTGAAGTTATCACTCGAATAAATATTTGCACAATTTCCGTCTGTCAATATCGATGAAACGCTCCAGGTGACAATGTTGGAAATTTTCGGGCTCGAATTTTTGATGTTACGTGCAACAATTTCCCCGTCACCCAACCCGTTAGCCTTTCGAGCTTGAATTCCAGCCTGTGAACTTAATGCGTAAGAATTACCCGAAGTAATCACAAGCGCGACGACAAAAATCCAAACGAAAAGGGAAGAATTGTGCTTATAATTCATTTTCATTTACACTTGGATCTAAAATTTACTTGAGATGCTGGCAAACGGGAAAGACAAAATGAGAAACAAAGTTTTGGTGAGCACTGGTTGAAAGAAATTTGCTTGTGCATAACATCCATATTTAAACCATTTTTAGTTTTGTCACTTTATTCAGTCATAATGAAGCTATGGAGAGCAAAGGAATATAAAAATAAAAATTTGTATGCATGATCGAGTTATGTACAACAAAATAGGTATTTATTACTTGTCATACAGCATACATATTTGGTGTACATATTAAAATGTTGGAAATGCGATAAAGTGGAAGATGACAAGAATGACCACCCACAATGCAAAAACCACTTTATCTACCAACATTGACAGATATTGCCAATCACTCATTCTTTTTACAACTCCTCCTTCACGATTACCAAGATCTCCAATTAACTCGTTCATCTTACTTTCATCATCCACGCGATCAGGGGATATCCATGGAGGAACCCTTGCCAATGATTTAGTAATCTATTGATGCCAAGTATATACATAAATATACAATTATTGGTAACTTCGTAATCGTAAAAATTAATTGCTAATACTAATTTCTTACCCAACTTGGAGTTTGACCAATTTTATTGAATAAGTTGTAAACAATCACATTTGTTATCAAAACCAAGAAGCTTATCAAGAATACGATATTGTAATATAGGACTGCAAATAGGTTCGAAATTGAAATGTCAAAAACTACTTGTTTAAATATATGTGAAATTATTATTAGTACCAATTTCCGGTGGCTCATATTTCCCGCAGCGAGGATTAAATTGCAAACTGCAGTAACTGCTGAGTAACATGGCAAGCAAAGCTACAGAAAAAAATACGATTATTTGAACACTTTATCCTATCGAAATATTTCAGGGGTCATATCACACATTTTACAAGGCGTGTTCACGTCAATGATATTTCGTGTCGCAACTCATATTGCAAAAGTTTGGGAAATATTCCTACAAAATAAAACTTTCCAGTTGTTTGGTAAATGCTTGAAAAATATTTTGGTTTTCCAGTAAAAAGCAAAATCTCGCAAACTGAGTATCTGTATCAACTTATGCATTTAACTTGCCCTTTTTTTACCAAAAGCTATGCAAAGATGGACCCCTTTAATTGAAGCTGACAAAAAATTCTGCTTCTTTTACGAACCAAATAAGATCCTTAGTCCAGAATTCGGCATAAGCATCATACTGAGGATGAGAAACCCGTATATTACAGAGTTCATCACTCTGGCAGACGCCAAAATTTGGTCACCTCGTCGTTGTATCATTAGCGTAAACGCTACATCCACATACGGTTCTGGACAACATGCATAGGAGAGTGTAGTCTTTCTAGCATGAAATCCTGTAAATTGTCAGGAGGGTAACTTATTAGGTACTGTAATTATGTCAAACGTCGAACAATTGTCTCACTAGTTGTTTACCGTGTACTTCCCATTCAGGGTGACGCCTAAAGCTGGATATATCTCCCTCTTCCCCATTGATTATCAAATCGAGCTGAAATTTCAGTATAAAAAATAATCCTTGCATACAATGGTAACATAGACAACCAATCAAATTTTTCGAAATTTTGTCAAATTTGGATATTATCAACATTTTTACGTATGTATGTAAATACGTAACTCTACTAAATTTTTAAATATGTAAATGTGTACATTGTAATTTGTCACCCATTTATAACAAATTTATGCTCACTGCTCGGTAACAGATTGCTACATATGTACATAATTACTATGTATTTACTAATTACCAAAGATCCATCATACGTCCAGGACAACAACTTAATCTCACACTCTAATTTTTCAAACGGGTACTTTTTCAAATCCATTTTGCACGTTGTCGTAGTTTCTCCGGGTAGAATGCTGGACACCGTTCCATTGTAATTTACGACGGATAAAGTTTTGAAGAAGGGGTCCAAACTGTCGTGACCGCTGATAAGTAAACCAGAACTTAGTTGATTTCGCAAATGTACGTGTTAAATTCATGTATGTACATTTTTACATAACACATTCTTATAAAACTGTAATTAACTCATTACTGACCGGAGTACGTACGATACGACTCAACCGCCACGGTAATAAAGGGAATATTACCGTTTAGTAATGTGGTGGTAATGAACAATTTACAATTCAGAAACAACCTTCCACAAAACCGGTGAGAAATTATCGTCAAATCAGTACTAGTAAGGAGTGTATATTTGAATCTATTATCAATTAACAGTGCATCCTTACTGGTTACTAATGTAAATATCCGGGCTCCAAATACGATGCGATGGAATTCTCAAGGAAGAAATATTGTCATAGTTTTCTCTGCTCCATCGTAATTTGTAGTCATTCCATTCCAAACTTTCCCAAATGTTTAGGTCGATCGTTTCCTTGTCGATGTCCTAAATTTGGGAATGGGATAAACTGTACATATTACTTTCATATTTTTTATTTCATACAAAAACCATAAACTTTATACGTTTACCACGTTGATGATGGACATTAAGGTTAACCCGACTGACACGTTTAAAACGTCATGGTAATTTTCAACAGGTCGTTCAAGAAGGTTGAGCTTATCGAGGAGATCTGATATTAACTTATCTTCGGATCGACTTGCTTCTAAATTTTGCATGCAATTTTGCGTAACTATAGATAAATATGAATATTTGACACGTTTAAAATCAGATACTCACCAGTAACACAATTAGTCGAAAAGTAGATTAATGATAGAGCGAAAAATATTGGCAATTTCTTTGACAGAAACATGTTTGTACTGGCGAATGTGGTGGATGATCGGAGATTGATATTGAATCATGAAGGGGGCATGTTATACAAATACTGCATGAATTCGTACATGCGTACATATATAAATAAAAAATATGCACGAGTTTATCTTTATAATACCCCAATTAAAGTTGTCCTTTGCTTACATAGAACAGGTTTTTATTTTTCCAAGAAGTTAGACTACTGTTTTATTTACCTTAATTTCTAGTTTAATGTATAATTCATAAACTGGTTATTGTATCTTCAGAGCATATTCATGAGAACTAAGAACTACATATACATTCATTAATAAACACGCCAATGTATCAGTTATTAATTAATAATCAGTTTAAACATGACGTGACATAAAATGTGTGTATATCCAAAATATTCAGTCACTTAATTTTGATAAAAAATTCGATAAAAACATCCCACATGTAAATTTTTAGCAATGAATAAAATCAAACACATGTTAACTTAGCTATTGCGTTGTGCAAACGAGTCGCCTGGCTCAGTAATGCTGGGGAATGAGTGATTTTTTTTCGCCGAATGAATTTTTTTACGATTTTTTTTCTCCAAAAGGGTCTTCACTATCAAGCTGTACTGGAATGCAGGACATGGATACACTAATGGTCTAGTTACATAGTAATTTTGCGACTACCTAACTCATCAAAAGTTGTGACTTCATGCTTGAATACTACGTCTGTATGCAATTGTAACACTAATTAATTAGTTATGCAAAAACAAAATACCCAAACAACTAATTTTATTTACTTCATAAACAATAAAATTTATTGTAAATACTTATTTCATCCAAAAAACCCTGACAAGAGTACACACATCATTACCATGCCAACCATTACCTCCATCACACTTCCACCGTTGCAGTGATTACTGGAGCAAAAACAGGTGTACAAGGCGCTCGAAGTATTTCCTGGAAACTCGATAAGCACAGTTCCATTCGGGTATCGAACCCTCCAACTGTAATCTCGGCTGCACGTATTGTCATACCTGCTCTCAAACAAACCACACCCTCGGACAACCACGGAACTCCCATTGTTCACCCAAGTTCCTCGCCCCGTTCCACACAGGACTTTAGGGTTTTGTAAAGTTCCATCACGGTCATCCTTTGCAACAGCGGGGTCATAGAAAATCGCTGAAATTAAAATAGACATTTTTAAGATCCATAAAAATTATCAGTTACTACGGGATTCTTGTTGCGGTTCACATCATTTGCATATTCTGACGCATTAGCGAGAGACGCTTGCTCAACACAAAAAATCCGTATCGCCGAAAATGTGAGTTTTTTGTAAATTAGGTGAACCGTAACAAAACTTACATAAGCCACTATACATAAGTCTTACAAACACTTGGGATGGACTGTCGTCCCCAATCTTCTTCATCGCCACAATTTCTGGAAGGCATAGATGCTCCGTCGTCCTCACATGCTGGTAATGAACCAGCCACGCCCTCTATTGAGTAGCAGGTATAGCAGTGTAACCCTGGCGGCAAGGTGGTGGTTCGACGAGTGGTCGTCGTTGGAGTGGTCGTGGTCGTCGTTGGGCGCGTGGTGGTCGTCGTTTGGGTGGTGGCGAAGGTCGTGGTCATCGTTGGGCCGGTGGTCGTTGTTGGTAGCACATCGGGAAGGTCGTGCACATTGCAATTATCATCCGAGCATATGCATGAGATCATGGAGGTGGTAGAATTTGCAGGGAAAGTGATAACCGTCCCGTTAGGAAATGTAAACGAGTACCCGTAATACCTGTTACAAGTGTCGACATGGCTGCTTTCGAATACACCGCAATGACGACCGATAATTACGTTACCATTATGTAGTCCGAACGCGGTCATACAAGCTGCTTGTGGTGCCCGTAGCCACCCCGCATCTATTTCTGCATTGACGAAGAGTGGTGAAATTTTGTATATGTATACACTAATTATATTTTGACGATTTATGAGAACGGTCAATTTTTCTTACTAATAATGGGTCCAGTTTCGTCGATTCGGCTGGCGGGACAGAAAGTAGAATTGGTTAAACTTGGAACACTTGGATAACAGTTAGGGTCAGAGCCTGCGTAATTTTGTAGGAAAAAACAATCATGGCACCAAAGAGCTAGAAAGTGACAATAAAATCTTGTTAGATTTCCTATTCTTAGAATCTTCTAGTTTATATATTTATATACCATCAATGGAGACAAGTATGCCAAAGAAGCCGATAACTTGAAAGAATTTCATTTTGAACTCTGATCATAAGTAGAAAACTGTATGATCAATCGAATGACTTGGACAAAGTTTTACCAAGGGTTTTATAGGTGGCAAACGGAAAAGTCGCCAGTTGCAACTTAATAAGCAAGATAAGAAGTTAGCCGGTATGCGACACTACTTTTTAGCTAGCAATCCTATGATATTTGCATATTATACACAATATAATTATGTACATATAACTCAGGATATAGAAAATTCGTGCGCAAAATACATATGCTCAGTTGGGCCGAGAGATTAAATCGAAACCAGATAGAAAAATCAACCGTACAAAATATTTCGCAATATTGATTGAATGTGTCAAACTTAAAGAACATCATGTCGACAATAATGCAATCATTGTTTAATTAACTGCCACTCACTTTAACGACAGCAATCAACATCATCTTCCATGAACAAGAGGTTTGCATGGATATGGTCATGGTCACAAATAGTAATAAAAATCTCGATTAATTGGTGTTGAGGAAGCTTAATAAATACTCGTAAGTGATGTTTTTCTTGGATATTTAGCATATGAAATGAGTCGATAATCACACGGCTTTGGGAATTTGTCCACGTGTTAAACGCAGCATCACTTCGGCAACCCAAAAAATGCTGCATGATTACCATGTATGCCATGTGCAAAGTTGAAGTATTTCCTTCTCGTAATCAGAACTATGTCAATGTCACCTGGTCGTGGGGACTGGTGTCAATTGATGTCCGTGAAGTGGATGCCACTTGAGCGCAAATCGTGCATAATTTGACTCATTACTAACAAGTGGATCGATAGATCAATAGATAGTACAGAATATCTTACTCAATTTATTTGCGCAGTCTAATCGTCCGGCCGAAGCATTTTTGCAAAATCCAACATATTTACATAAATATGTATGTATACAGATTACTTAATTAAACACAGGTATGAACACATAAATACATAATATTCACACTAAACCGCAAACTAGGGGACAATTTGTACCTCTATAAAGCATAGAGGTGACCACAAAAAATCAAATACGACAAATGAAGTCGAATGCTTGTAAAATTTTCTAAAACTTTAAAAACTTTAAAAAAGTTTATGAAATTCCAAACTTGCAAATTTTTTTGGTAATATTTACGAATTTAGCAGCATAATTAGTTATTTACAGCTCTAGGCAATAAATTTGCGTACAACTCACTTTCGATTAAATATTTCATCTCCTTCCAATTGTAAGTACCGCTTTAAAGGTTCCCTTGACCACAGCCCGGGTGAATTTCAAGACGGTAAGTCTCTTGATCGTAAACACCCCACGAAGACCAACAACTAATGGCTGGCACGTTTTAGCATACTTTTTGAAATATTTTTTCTCTTCGACCCTTCGAAACATCAAATTCTCCCAAGATCTCAGAGTGGTTATCGACATTTGGTGGAAACGCCCGATAATTTCTAAGCCACATGTCCACGCCATCATACACATCACCGACATTATGACTAATTGGATCTGCAAATAGTTTTTAGAAACTTGCAAATAAATAATAAAGTTCATAATTTTTTGAAACTAATGATAAATTTTCCTACTTTGGAAAATATGTCTAGCGAGTTCCAATTTTTTAGTAGGATGAAATTCAGGGACAGAATAATTTGCAGAAATTCCCAATGCATCACCATCACGACGTAAGTAATGCTTCGATTAATTTGTTTGTGCATTAGTTGGACGTTGTTGTACTCTTTGGGGAGGTAGGTCACGGAACGCAGGACTTTGTAAGTATTCCACTTGTACTTGGAGTTGCCATGGTTTAATCGAAATTCATTTTTAACCAGGGGCAGGATGGTTACTATAAAATTTAAGAAAACATATGGTTACTTAAAATAAGTTGGTAACAAAAGTGTCACCAAATTTTACTTATTTTTTAGGCTGTAAATAGATATCTAAGTAAATAGATATCTAAGTACTACAAATTTCTTCGAGGTTTGGGGAATAAAATTACTTTAATAATTCGGTGGTAAATTTTAAACACCGTGATACATACTTACGTGTCGGACGGAGCCTCATAAAAAAATAAGAAAAAAATGTCTATCAACATGAAATTCATAGATAACTTACGCGTATACAGCGATGGGAAGACAGCAGCTACCAGGAACAGTTGACCAACTGCTATCGAGTAAAAGGTATTGAAAGCAGCATAGCTAATTTTGACCCAGTAGTTATGCGTTATGGCGAAGTCCCACATTTTATCGTCCTCCGCCGGGGGTAGGAGTGAGGGTAGAAAGAACGGTAAGTATGGCTGATTCCAATACATCGGTGTGTTAGACAAGGGAGCCGGCGACATTAGCCAAATCGATAAGATAAGGACGTCCAAAAATTTGCCTGAGATGCTTTCCATCCTGTTAGGATTGTACTGAGGGGTCATCCATTCCCCTGAAAGGATTAGCGAATTACATAAATTATTGTCACTTTTCAATTTTGGCGAAAAACTAAATCCTCTCAACTGTTCCCTTGGTTGAAATTTTGGATACTTTCATGCAAATATTTTGCTCAATATTCTGTAGGAAAATTGTGAAGAGTGATTTGTGCAGAAAATTATGCGGAACAATGCAGAGATTATGCACAGACGATTCTGCAGAATATCTAAAACCCCTCGAAATTTTCTGCAGAATTATCTCTGTAAAAACAATTATGCAGAATACTTATACAATACATATGTATTAGAGCTGTTGTCGACTTATGGAGAATTCGTCACAGTTGACAGTGATTTCTACCATATGGTTCAATCATGTTGCATCAGGACCCCTTTTAGTAATAAATACGTAAAATATTTATAAAAAACGACAAGAACTTATAAAAACGATAAAAAATTACGGATTTGAAATGTTTTTGAAATATTACTTACGCCCAAACTGAGAACCGTAACTTAGAACCATGTTCAATATGCGACAAATCTCGTCCTGTTGCAAGTTCATATAAATTAAGGTCGTATTGACCATAACCGTGGCGAACGAGCATATGAAACAAATTCCTAAATGAGGACTTTTGTATCCACCATCGTAATAGACAAGTTCTAACGTCCTAATTATACCGAAGACGTTAAGGCTGATAGAAATTAAGGTAAAAACTGCCAGCCTTCTTCTCGATGAGGGTGTGATGTGAAATATTTTTTTATTCTGATTAAACACCAGGCTGGTCACTCCTATGGTAGATGGAAGCATGAGAGAAAAATGGAGAATCTTTGCAAGATTTTTAGTATACATTTTTCCAGAAATCTAAGCGAGCGTCGGGTTAAAAAAGTAGAAATTTACTTTGTGAACTGCGTTTGTCGACTGCTAAGTCGCTGATAAAATTTTCTACGTATTTACATCAAAAATCGAATTCGTTTCTGGGTCATGGATTCGTTATGTGGTCGCTTTAAAAATTTACTCATTACTGAAATAAGTTGTTTGTGCATTCGGCAATTAAACATAATTCCGCAACCATAATTTTTGCCCCGATTATACATATATTTACAGATGATTACATTACAATAACAGTTAAACATGATATTACCTACTTGCGTCACAGCAAAGTATATTTAAAATAAGTAGATACTATTTTGTCTGTAACTCTACCTACATAAAAGTCTACATATTTATTTACTTATGAAAGCTGTACAATGAAGTGCTTAGTTGAGTTAAAATGAGAAAGTAACGGGTTTATGTAAATTAAGCAACGCACTAAATTGCGTATAACATAGACAAATATTTTAAATCATCAAATACAAAATTTTGCATTTTTAAAATTTATTTTAAAAATACTTAGGCGAGAAACTATGAAGGCAGGCCAAACATATCAATCAAAATATTTATGTAACTGTTTGCAAAGTAGGTAAGATTTATTTTTCAAAAACTAAATTTTGAGGATTGACTAAAATATTTGAACCAAACAAATTATTACTTACTTTTTTAAGTTATTATTGTTATTAACAAATATATAAATGTGACAAGATAAGACCTGTATAATTTAAAACCCTTGTGGTTGACTCATTCTATACACCCCATTTACAAATTATTATTAATTATTATTATTATTAAATTATTATTAGTATTATTGCATTGTGTAAGTTAATTTTGATAAAAAAGGCTGCACGAAAATTAAAAGGGCAATAAAGAAATTTTGTGATTATCTAATTCCAAGAAAATTTATTTACGTCATCAATTAAGTGATTTGCACATATGTACATATCTAATACGAATTCAATCCTAAGTACGCGTATGCATATATGGAAGTACATTTATTTACGTTCAGGTCTGATTTTGTCTATATTAACAACATGATCAATCCGGGCTAATAAATTTCGTAATTTTAAAATTTGCACTTTTTAACTTTGCACAATAACGTTTCCTTGTTTTTTTTTACTTCTTTAAAATCCACCGTTTGTAAAAAGTTGTGAGATTGATTCTCCATTATGCGTTCGACGAACCGCCTCCGCCAGCATGAGAGAGATGTCGATGCACTGAAAAAGGTATAAAGTTTGCAAATGAAACTCCAATTTTTTTCGAAATTAATCATCACAATTAAAAGTACGCACCTTGACCCTGGCACACTCCTGGATATGTCCGCCTTGTGGGATGCTATTCGTCACACCCACGGTTTCAATGCAGGACGCATTAATTCTTGAAATTCCCTTCCCCGATAGAATTCCGTGGGTCAGGATGGCATAGATTTTTGAAGATCCGGCTTCTTGCAATCTGTAAAAAATTTTAATTTTTTTTTCAAAATCTCCGTCAAATGACTATTCTATACTAAATAAAAAAATACATACTTTGCCGCTGCGCGACAAATCGTTCCACACGTGTCGGCCATGTCGTCTACCATTATGCTGATTTTGTCAGCAACGTCTCCGACGAGGACGATGGACGCCTTAATGTTTCCTTGGCCTTTTTCTTGATGAATTAGGGCAAAGTCGAGATCCAACCCGTCTGACAGTGATGTCACCCTAACGATCAAATAAATAATTAAGAATAATTAATAATTAATCAATACTTTTTTGGACTCCTGTAAATATGACTTTTTCCTTAGATTGCAACAAAAGTTTCCAGTACATATTTTTAAGGGTAGGTTTCAAATGGTGCAACTAGAATATGTTTTTTGCAGTATTAAATATGTAAATATTTTGTAATATGTAGCTATTTAACTATGGGAACTTACAAGTTCGCTGTAAACGAAAGACCCCAAAAAAATTTCAAAATTTACTTAAAAAATTATTAGCGAACTTATTGCGAATTTTTAGGGTTCGTATTTAGGTCGCAAAAAATTTCCAATGCATGTGAAAATGTGAAATGTGAAAATACGAACTCGTAATGAGTTTAAAAGAATTATTCATGACAATAAAATACTTAATAATCATAATCTTAATAATCCACTTCTGCTCTAATTTACCTCTTGGTTCCTCCAGCGTCTGGCGACACCAACACGGCCTTCTGCCAATTAGGAATGTTTTCCTTAATCCATTTCAAAATTACGGGCTCCGCATACAAATTGTCGACTGGGATGTTAAAAAATCCCTGAATTTGGGAGGCGTGTAAATCTACGGTGATTATGTGATCAGCACCAGCGACGCCCAGCATATTGGCCACAAGTTTGGCTGTTATGGGGGCACGACTCTGCATAAATGTAAATAAATTACCGTGTAAAGTTTATTTTGCACTAACATTGCAAATATTTACATACTTCACAAAAAATAAGTAATTTTGCACATTTCACCTTATCTTTCGAATTCTGTCGGGCATACGGATAACACGGAATTACTGCTGTAACACGGGCAGCAGATGCCCCTTTGCAGGCACTGATCATAATCAGCAACTCCATAATGTTGTCATTAACGGCACCACACCCACTTTGGATGATGAAAACGTCATCGCCTCGAACGCTCTCCAAAATTTCGACACTACAATTTTTGCCAATTTGCGAATTAATTTTAATCAGAAATGAATTATGTATATTTATGAAAAAAATGTATGTACCTTGTTTCCAAATTTGAGAATTTAGCAGCCTTCGTCTTTCCTAACTGAATTCCGAGATGAGATGCGATCAATTGGGCCAACTCGCCGTTCGAGGAACCCGAAAATAACTTAATTTTTGACATTATGCTAAATTTTTGATTGGATAAATTCAAATTCAAATAAAATCAATTCAGATTTAATCCACGACTTGGGTTCGTTCCTTCCTTGAAGAAATATGCTCATCAACTGACAAATATTGTTCAGAATCTGTCCTGGATAAGGCTAATTGCTCAATATCTGTCTTTCCTCGCCCAACTTACGTAATAGTATCACGTCAGATTTAATTTATCGCATCTCGTGCTTCATATTTTTGATCGCTCAAGTTGACCTTTCGCTCTTTCAATTCAATCACAACACGTAAAATATATCCAAATCTTCACAATACGCAGATCCAGTAAGAAAATTCAATCGTACATAATTTGAATATGGGACAGTGCATCTCACTCAAGTTATCAGTGTAATAAATATCACTCAAAATTTGGATACACCCTTAATAAAGTGGTACTCAAATTTTCCCTGTGGTGAAGCTGTGGTGAAGACTTGTCACCAAACGGTAACCATGCAAGCTTGCACGGAATTAAAATTACATATGCAGTGTTTCGGGTGCAAGTAATCACTGATAAGAAATTACGGCAAGAAATTGGTTTATTGCAGCTATTTTGACCTGCAAGAAACTACTTCCCGCCTCTGTAGTTCATAGGGCACTAGATGGCGCATATTTAGTGTGCTTTCTTGCAGTTTCGTGCACCTTGAATTTATTGCGTTTCTTACTTTGCCGTGAAAGAAATGCAGCAAACCCGAAAGCAACGAAACACTGTATGACACAAAAAACACATTTTTCATCACATGATGATAATTTTATACAGAAAATTCTTGCTACCGTTCAGTGACGATAAATCGTGGAAGAGCTGGGTGAATTTTCTTACCACATTATTTAGAGTGCATTCTTGCCAAACACTTGGATTGGATTAAGCATGACGATGGACTTGTCGAACTGGAGTGAAGAAATTTAATGAGTAAACAGATTTCTGTGGGTGTGTAAGCAGACAGCTTGTTGTTTGGTGGAAGAATAATCTTAAATATTGCACACGCTGACGGGATGATCAAACCATATCAATTTTCTGGGATTATTGATTCATTCCCATTTTAATGCTTATTGCATTCACGGGTTTACTTTGTGGAGGAAGAATACGATAAAATAATATTGAAAGAATATATATCTTTGTTAAATCAATACTGGAGGAATGATGCATGTTCTTGAGGTTTGTTAGTCCGTGGCCTTTAAAAAAAGTGTACCCAAGTCATTACTTAAATCTGTTTTCATGACACAAATAACTTTTCCTTCCGAAAGGAAACCACAACGTGCACCTTTGTACACCTGTTAGTTCATAAATGCACATATCGACTTATTTGTTTGTGGGTCATTTTTCTACCCAGAGACAACCACGTACGCCCTTTTCTACCAAATATTTGTATGCGTGTTGTTAAGCAGGGAGTTGCATATTAATCTTGCTTTGTAAATTTTTACGGCTTATACATATGTGCATGCATGCATATCTAATATACAGTTTAAATGTGACAAATTAATACTATTTACAAAGCTTCATGCAGAATTTTATTGAAAATCAATGGCAGAAATTCATGGATAACGAGTATGCTACTGATAGAAATTCTGCAATTATGGGGAACAAACTGTAATTGAGTAACGTTATCTCTTATTTGTATGGTCCACATAATTGCGGATTAAATATTGACATATTTGTTTACAAATGTTGTATGTGCATGTATGTACATAAGTACGTATGTATGTATATACCTATGTACATATGAACATACATAGATTTAAGCCAAGTTTGTACGTGCACATATAGGAACATAGATATCGCAGGCATACCAATTTACCAATACGAGGTTCATTAAACACGTACACATGTACATGCATACATATTTATTTACATATTTATTTATTTACGTCATAAGTATAATTCACATCACAATACATACAAGATTTGTTTATCTACCCATTTATAGTAATCCGACTTTCCCGTAGGATTGTTTTCTGATCAAGTGGCCGGGTCCACTACTAATGTGCATGTGCTCAATTTATAAAATTAAATAACTATGTAAATACATGCACAATGTAACATTATGCATATCGTACATATTGTGGTAGGTCTCATTTCTTAGCATGTTCCTTGCTATTAAATTTCATCAACTGGAGCAAGTGTTACAGGTACCTCAAAACGTGTTGGTCCGGTTTAATTAATGTTTACTTTACTGGCTAAGGTACCTAAAGTACCTGAGTTCTTTACATGTCCATGCATAAGTGAAATTATTTGTGCGTATCACCTCATTTGCATAAATCTTGGTATGCATTTTTTTCAGCGATACGGGCTTTCCCCGTGTTGAATGAACTCTATGTTTTTTGCGAATGTGTTAAAATATGCAAATGAGGTGACTAGCACAAATAATTCCACTGTAAATATGTCGTTCTGAGATTGAGAGAATGAATTAAGTAAGTACTTTGTATTCCAGATCAGTTTTTGCTACAAACTTATTTAATTAATCTGCACGAACGACAATGTTTTGGAAATTTCAATATAAATTATTATCGACCTTGGCATAGCCATTGACACCACGTGGACCAAGTTCATTCTGTCCTCAACGCATTCGAGCAACTTTATCACAAATCTAGTTGCTAAAACACAATGAGGATGATCACATTATATTTAATTTTTCTTCAGAATTTCTCCGTTATGTTTATTTGTGTGCTAATTTTTCAAATAATTTCAATTAGCCAGGCATCAAGCACGTTTAATGAAGAACTCACCTTGTCCCAATTAGAATATTCAGCGTTAGCGAAGGCAAGTATTTATTATTCTGCACATTTTCTAACAATTTACTCCGATATTTGTAACTGTGTAGACCGTGAAAATTTACAAAGGTTTCCACGTGTGACGTGTAAAATGTGTAAAACAGCCAAATTTTCACACCCACTCCAAAATATCAAGGGTATCTCTTGTAAAACCATGTAAAACAACACTGCAAAATATAATTTACAAGGTTACAAATATCCGAGTGAATTTTTTAATATGATTTGAGAGTATGTGTTTTTTATGCATTTTCATTATCAGTTTAAAGAAATAATGCTCCCAAAAATAAAAGTTGACTACATGAAGGACGACATTTATTTGATCAAATGGTTACGAAGTAATTACATGAAATTGTTATAAAACCAATATTAAGGATATTATAATAAATCCATCTTGAATATTTGCTCAGGCCAGAAACTTGACATCGACCGAGCCAGAAACCGCTTATCTAATCATCTTTCTTGGCGGGAAAGTACAAATTTTGATAGATTAACGGATTCCGACTTTCAGGAATTTGTAGGGGATTATCCGTACGAAATTACGGGCGTAAACAAAGACGGGAGACCTCGTGAGATTTTAAAGAAATATTTTAATTTTCGAAAATTCTACCATAATTTGTTTTACAACTTCATTCAGTGTTACAATTTTACTCTGGAATTTGGGATTTGAGAAAAGCCGCACTTGCCGGAAAAATGGATAAACTTCTTCTCTACGCGTCCAAAATGTTGGAGAAAGCGTGGCTTCGAGTTCGCGATTTTCAAATGGAGGGAAAGAACGTGACCAGATTTGCAGTGATTATTGACCTCGATAAGGTCAACGTGAGACAAAACTTGAATATTGCGAGTACGATTTTTTATAAGTATATACCTAGTTATATTTTGTTGGAATCGCAAGTTCAACTCAATTTACATATTTCGCTGATCTATTTAAATATGAAGTATTTTTATATCGATTAACTAAAAACATGTTTATGAAACTATAATAATTTTTGCATGCATTTCGATAAACAACTTTATCTTAATATTTAGGCACGCCATTCTACGCCGGAATTGTGCTAGCGTATGAACTTCAATTTCCAAAGCAGGCTGAAGAAGTAATTATTGTTAATTGTAAGAACTCTTATAAATACGATAAGTTTCTCTGTTTAATAGTTTAATTTCTTGCATAACAGGTTGTATTTAAAATACTTTTGAACATTTCTGACGCACAGGTCCCTCATTTATGGAAGTGCCACTAAATCTTGCCAAATCCGTGATGGATGCTGAAACAAAACGAAACCTCAAAGTTTATGGAACAAATAAAGAAATATGGGCCCCAATTTTGCACGAAACGATTGATCCGTCCCAACTCACTGCACCGTTTGGGGGGACGTTACCGTCCGAGTATGGATTTTGAAGGAGACGTTTGATGATGAAATTACATAGTGCTTCCACAAACTAGCCTGTTGCCTATGGAATTTGCATTTGCCTAAATTAATAAATATGCAATGTTTGTAATATGCTGAGAAAACAAAAGTTGTTTAAAAGCTGATTAAATCTATCTATCGAGTCTCAAAACCATATTTATAAAGAGGACTTTCAAATTTTTCAGTTTTTTTAAAATCATGTTTCAAATTTCCATAAGTAAAAGAATAAAATTTTTAGATGTTAGAAAACTATGCAAAATCTGTCTGACTAATCGTGTTCCTGTGCTACCTAACTAAGGCATTTACAATGCAGGCACCAAGAAAGTCGAAAAATTTCATGTTCATATATATCTATCATTGATATATGAACATGAAATTTTTCGATTTTAGAAAACTATGATATTATATCATAGTTTTTATATATTATTTCATTCTTTTACTTGATAAAAATTGAAATATGATGTTAAAATAAAATTGTGACATTAATGAATAGAGAATTTTGGTATGGTTTTATCTGCACACTTTTTGCTGCTTGATGGGTGGCAGCAGCCACCGCCTGCGCCTGACTCCCAGTGTCTCACCTCTCACCTTACTTCTTCAGCGCCTAATTCACCATTTTCACCGGGTCCACAACAATAAAAACACAAAAACCAGCCGAGTTCAAAACACTGCGTTCTGTTCTGACCCTAAAATTAAAAATCTCAACTAAGTTCGAATATGCAAGGATGGAAGTCGGGGAACCAATAACTATACATTTTTCCAGTTTGTCCAGTTTGCTTGATGCTGTGGACAACAAACCATGGATCACTTACCCGCTCGTTTGCGTCATTTGTGGTGACCGTGGAACAGGTATATTTTAAAAGTTTAATTTTACCAACGATACTAATTGAATCTCTTAATTAATTTGTTCTTTAGGTCGTCACTACGGGGCGATAAGTTGTGAAGGATGCAAAGGATTTTTCAAGCGTTCGATCCGTAAACAATTACAATATTCATGTTGTAAGGATGGACAATGCGAGGTGACAAAACCTCGCCAATGCCAGTATTGTCGATTACAAAAATGCCTTAAAATGGGGATGCTACCTCCAGGTACTAAATGAATACGCTTTAAATTAATAGAATTCCCTTCACCATTGTATTATTGAACCTTTTAGCAGTTCAACTTGAGCGAAATCCTTTGTCGAAGAGTCAAATTCAAAATTTGTCACCCAATACGGAAGCTGATTTTTCTCCATCGTTCTTTAGAACCCTCGCTGGTGAGAGTTGCACATCAGGTTATCTTCTATCCAACATTGGTTCTCAAGGTATGATGAAAACTTTGTAAATGTGTCGAGTATGTACTCTACAATATTCTTAACATACAGATGATCAAGAATTTAATGACGTGGATGAAAGCGATTCGGTAGATACAGAACTGGTGGCTACAGCGATGGAAATGATGTCTAATATTTTAACTAAGGTACATGTTTCGTTCACATAATAATAGCGCAAAAAAATTATCCAGTCCTGGTTAATTTCTTTCCTCCACTAACTCTAGATTGAAGAAGAAAAGATCTTGTCCATTATTCATCTTGACCTGCAAGACGTTACTCCGGAAGAATGGGTCAAATTTGAGCTAGTGGACGCTTCGAAACTTCCCAAGAATGATTTCATCACTCTGGATTATGTCTGCGAAACGTCGTCCCGACTAATTCTCCTATCGGTTCTTTGGGCGAGAACCCTTCCAGCATTTCAAGCCTTGAAGTGAGATTTTTAAACACTTTGACTAAATCATTATTAAAGTAGAACCACTAATCTGTATTTTGTACTTTGTATGTAGTCCTGAAGAACAGATTTATATCATGAAATCTGCATGGAGTGACCTATTTGTTGTTGGTCTTTCTCAGTATCCCAACATTCTTCCACTAACTAGCGTTGTTAACGCCTTGTTCCCATGCACACAGTCAAGCTGCATTTCTTCCAAGTTAACTATGATAATGGGATATGCATCAAAACTACAAGTGTTCATAGAAACTGTTCAAAATCTCAACTTGGATGCATTTGAATATTCTGCTCTCAAAACTTTAGCCATCTTTAGTGACGGTAATTAAAACGAATCTACACAATTTGACGAAATGGAGACGATTGGGATTTATAATCGTTATACAACAATCTACGTAAATGTATATTTTCAGATCGATATCCTCAACAGAATGGAATTAATGAGATCAGAAAGTTAGCCCTAAAACAGTTGCAAGTTCATGTCGTGGCGATGTCGGTTGGGAATCCGGTCAACAAGGTCAACTCGATTCTGCGCCTTCTCCCGCATTTAAGGTATAACATCAGTTCGTAATATTGGCAAAATAAAAAATATAGTTATTCTATAATAGAATAAGGGTTTAAACATGAAAAATATAATTTCAGACGGATTGCCCCGGCTGGAATTGAACAGATATTTTTTAGCAAGATATTGGGAAACGGAACAACAACTCTGGAACATTTAATTCCTTCAATGATGACGATGAAATCTGATTTATCCCTTCCAGGTGAGGAGCAGAAAGCAAAGTTTAAGAAATTCAAAAAAAATTTCATCGACTAATAACTGTGTAATCTACGAGTTAACGCAACATTATGTTCATGACAAACTATTTTTTGAACCCTGTTAGAATATTGACATTACAGGTTTTTCTATTTATGAATTTAGTTCGTAGTCTATATAATGATGAGCACTTCAAATATTTGTTAAATTACAAGACTGTAGAACCATTATTGTTCAAAGAAAATAACAGAATATGCTAAATGTTTTTTAACAAATTTATTTAGTAATAAAAACTCCTTCACTTCATTATATATAAATAGTGTATGGATTACTGTAATTTATCTATAATTTTTAACGTTGCGAGCGAATTTTACTAAATTTAACACATTTTAATTTCGGGTTTCAGATAATCTGTTTAATATTTAATGTTTTAAATTGATTAGTTCTCCAGACTGATCTTTGTAAGGTTCAGACCACTCTTTGTATGAAGAGTATAATTATAAAATTTAATGTGCCAGTGTTGGATATTAGACCAAACAATGGCATCGACAAATGACGATTGACGATAGATATTTAATTTAACTTTCTACCAATTCTACCTTCTAAATTTAAAATTAGTTTCACTAACTTCTTTATTATTTATCTAATCACAAGCTAATTAGATATGTACAATTTCCCCCATTTCATTTATGTCTCCATCTTCCTGCAAACATTGTTATGAGCAAGGAAACACAAATCCAACAACCCCCTGATATAAATCCTGCGGCAACAATTTCGTTTGAAATTCCCCATCCTCTAGAACAAATTGATCTCATCGCTTCCACCATGAGTGTTGTCGGCCAGCACTTGAGCAGTTGACGAAACGCCCACGGCATCATTTCCAGAGGCCAGTAAATTCCTAAAAAATCACCATAATACGCATATTTAAGTACTTCGTCACTTAACTAATCGTAGACATGTACCTGTTGTAAAAACCATAGAAAGTAAAATGCACAGAAGGACTAAAATGTTTTCCAAAAGTCCATCCCAGAGTGCGCTCATGAGAAATCCTGAAAGATAAGTTGTGCTTTACCATCATAAGTAACTGACAATTTCGAGCATTGATGCATGGGTTAAAGTATCTACATGGGCTGGGGCGATGGAAAATTTGCAAAGTCAACAATATTAGCCTTATCAGAAATTTCCCATGCTAAACCTAACACAACTATTTATAGTTTCGGACTTTTCCATTAGAGATTAGTCGGATCCGCGTTTTAAAAACCCGACTTGCCCGACCCGGTTAATTTCTGGACCCGACCCGCCCGAACTCGATTACGTCACGGGCGGCTTGACCCGTAACCCGACTCAACTCTATTTTATTTCACCCCAAGAACCCTTTGTTCTTACCCACTGACAGTCCCGCAAATGACGCCATGTACATCAACCCCAAGGCTACGACCCACGAACCATTAATCACCATGTCGTAAAAGCCGGCCACTATTCCCATAAGTGCTCCAACTTGAATAAAAATTGTTAAACTGTGGGTAAAAAATGTAGCAATTAGGTAATGCCAAAAACCCACTCCGGCCACATTGTCTCTATCTACAAGTCCACTAATTTTGTCCTCCACGTGTATGACTGCGATTGGCAGTGCCACAGTAAACATTGCCCTGGAAGGTACATAGAAAAATTTTGTTAAGTGACGGATTATCACGCAGTAACAAACATTTCTGTAGACCCGTAGATAGCACGGAACTGAAAGAATACAAATACATACATGAAACTATTTGCAGAGGCCGCGGAAGCGTGGGGACAGAGGGACCATGTCCCCATGTTTATTCGATGTCTCCATCATCTGCCCATGTTATATAAACCCCTCCATCCCCTATCCTACAATGTTAATGTCCCCACATGTCCCCACGGCTTCCGCGGCCACTGACAATTTGTACTACGCTATTTCAACTGGTCATGCCAAAATCATAGAATATTTCTATGCACATACATGAAGTGGAGGTCGGCTAACATCGCTTGGAAGGGAACAAGATGACAATATATTTCCAGCGTAAATCATGTACTTTTCAAAAATTGTCTTTCTCATCCAAAAAGCCAACATCCGGTCTAAAATGGAAAAAACTAAGTGAATTATGTAACTGTATGTATGAATTTTGCGCATATTATTCATGTACCAGTTTCATCTAATCGAATTGATATCGTGGATCCAAGAATGGTCGCATTATCCGCGAAATTTGTAAGAGCCATTCGGTTTTTTACGTGTGTGACATAGTTTTCCGGAAACTCGACGAGTCCTGTAGTTTTGCCCTGCTTGATGTATGTGAGCCCCTCGTCGTAAGAATTTACAGGAACCTTTGACAATTTTAAGATTTTCTCGCGATAATTTCTTTTCTCGCGAAATGTTAATCATGAAAAGCTACCCAAATGAATTGATCTTCATCTAATTTATCAACGAAATTGCAAATCCCCGCGTTAGAAAGACATTCTTGTGACAAACTGTTTGCACTACAGAATTTTTGTGGGGCGTCGGTAAAATTCAAGTTTGAGTTGTGCACCAAACCTAGTTTTATGCGTTTTGGTTGTGGACCCAGCACGTGTTGCATTACGAGCACAATTAACGTTGGAAGACAAAGTTGAAGCAAATGCATCCTGGCCATTACAAAAATATGAGATACATTTAAATTTATGTATGTACACAAGAATGCGTAAAGGCACCTTAAATCCCTGCGATTTCGATGGAACCATTTGCACATTAATGCCCAGATTATTGATACATTGTCCCAAGTAAGATTAGAAGACGCGGCCTCTATTGACATGTTCTGAGCTTGTGACATCGGTAAGACGATAGCTTCCAGCATATCGTCTTCTTTGAGATATTTAAATCTCGGCAAGTTTCTGGTAAAGTTCGATACTTTTTGGTCGTGTTGACACAATTTCAAAACCAGTTTCTCAATGGTTGGAGTTTTGTGTGTCCGGAGTAGGGAATTTGGGCTGTCCTCTGCAAGAAGGCGACCCCCCCGCATGATGCCCACCTGTAAATAGCAACTTTCCAAGTAAAATTCATATTGTTTGCCACATATCAAATACAAGTTCACTAACCCTGTCGCAAAATTTTGTCTCCTCGACGTAATGTGTCGAAATTATTATGCTAGTCCCATGATCACGACTAATTTTGTATAGGTATTTCCAAATCCTGTGAAAACAGGAATTTTAAGTATGGAACTTCCACGGTAAAATATTTCGAAAACTTACCTTTGTCTTAAAAGAGAATCCAACCCGACGCTAGGCTCTAAAATGGGGTCATCAATAAGTTACACCGTCTTAATCTTAATTATAAGCTCAAATTATTACCGTCGAGCACGAGGAGTTTGGGATTGTGTATCATCGCCGCCGCCAAGGACACCCTCCTCTTTTGCCCACCACTGAGGTATGGATAACACGGTTATTTACTATTTAGTTTCATAAGGCAATTCATGAAGTCCTTGATAACTTCTTACAACAAAATTCGTAAACTTACAAACTTTTGCAAATATTTATCAGGAAACTTAGCTTTAAAATGTGTGTTGTTTACTCAGATCAAGGGCGTCTTATTTTGCAAAATTTATGGATTTTATAAAGTTGCAAAGGATTGCGTGAATTGCTGCGTAATACATGTGCATGACAAGGAATTATCTTACCTTAATGCTTGAACTAATTTACTGATTTCCGGCAAATCCAGAAATTCGATGAGAAATTCGATTCTTTCCTTTATCTCAACCGAAGTCATGGTGTAAAGCATTCCAAAATATTTCAGCGTTTCTGCGATCGTTAATGTGTCCAACAGAGCGAACTCCTGTGATGACATGCATACATACGTATAAATGAAATCCTGTAGGTTAAATTTGCATGATAACTTCTCACCTGAGGCATGTACCCACAAAGACGCCCAAGATTACCAGGATTCGATTTTTGAAACACCGTGACGCTGCCATAATCGAGCTGGTGCAATCCAACGATGCATTTTAGTAGGGTCGTTTTTCTATTCGTTAACAAATAAGTACGTGAATTATGAGTTATTTAACCTTATATTTCGACCATGTATGTAAACTTTATATTGTAAAGCTAAATATGCATTAAAAACTAATGACTACAGATATTGTGAGTGACACTTGCCCGCATCCACTAGCCCCTAACAATCCGTAGCTAGAATTGTGAACATGAATTCCTTCAACCCGAAAATGTGCACATCCGAAAATATTTCACTTGATTTACTTGCATTTCTCGAATGCCTACCCTCATCTCAACACCGCCAAGAATGTGCTCAGCTTTTCCATACTGTTTGAAACCGTTGCTACTGCCATTTCTTGATAAAATTTTTGGTTTATTTAGACCATCGCTTAAAATATGCAAATCTAAAATGTGTAAAATATGCATACAGTATTTCCATTCGTGTCTTTGCGCTGTCGCGTTAAAACTGGACTCAAATTTTTCGATGGTGTATGTACATATTTAACATGAAGATTGGCAATATATAGTAGTATGCATGTACCCATGTACATACATATGTATATAATATTTATGCAATAAATGCACTTGACATAGGTCAATACAATCAACAATCTCGGGCATGTCAACCCACCAGGTATAGGTATGCATATTTCAACCAGTTCAGCGAAGGCAAGTTTATCCTCCTTGCATGCAAAAATAGAGACATCAATACGACAAAATATTTTTCCCCACACTCTAGTGTTAATTATGTATATAAGAAACTGTGTATTCCCCAATTTGTGCACACCAACATTTAAAACCTAATTCCAGTATGCAATAATTATTCCCATATTCATATACTGTGACGGATTCTGCGATATCGATTACTTACATAAATACATAAGAGGAAAGTGTCAGAAATCCTGTTTATGTATATAAATAAATAAACCGTTGCAAACGAAATGTAGCAATAGGGTGAAACCACATGAGATAACTTTTTATAAGAGAAATATTTTACGTAAATACCATCCCCACGGTCATCGTACGTCAAAACCATGTCGATTTTTGAAATCCCCGCCCCAAAATACGTCTAGAACGTTTGAAAAGACAAAATTCGACATTTTTTGTCGTCTACACGGTCACACGGTCATCGAACGTCAAAATCATGTGGATTTTTGAAATCCCCGCCCAAAAATACGTCTAAAACGGTCGAAACGACAAATTTCGACATTTTCGACATTTTTTGTCGTCTACACGGTCACACGGTCATCGCACGTCAAAACCATGTCGATTTTTGAAATCCCCGCCCCAAAATACGTCTAAAACGGTCGAAACAAAAAATTCGACATCTTTGAACGTTGGCGTCGTCGCCGTGGCGACGTGACCTTACGACCTACAATGCCCATCTTCGAACTTGTCCGTACTTTTAAAATTAGAAACACGATGGCGAAAACCGCATATCGAAATTCGAATCCGTTCAATAGTTAGAGCACGAACGGACAGACAGACGGACAGACGGACAGACAGACGGACAAGGCACATCCATAATAGGGTTTCACCCTATAATAAATATAGCATAACAAACTTCTCGAGAAGTGATTCGTTCTTTAGTTTTGCATATACTTATTATGCGTAATAAGACAGTGTTTTCATTGATCTAATTGTGAATCACAATTTGTGATAGATATATGTTATTTAAGATCTCATGTACTTTAATATGATATTATTATTGAATATTGATATTATTGAATACAGGGTTCGGAAAAACCCAGGGTTTTAATCAAAAATTATAAAACCCATGGGTTTTAATGGGTTTTACCATGTTAATTGGGTTTTATTTGGGTTTTAATGGGTTTTATTGGGTTTTATTGGGTTTAAATGGGTTTTATTATAACTTAACAAAAATAATTCGGAATTTGTATCTATTCGGAAATTATTTTTGTTTTATAACACTTGAAATCTGTGATGCTAAAGGATGGAGTCAATTGTTGATTTGTTCCGAATTTTCATATATTAGAATAGTAATGAAAAAATTAGAAAACTGGGGTCAGAAATCAAGGCAGCGGCCAAATTCTAGTCCAAAATAATTTTTAAAATTATTTCCAGTCATTTTAAATCAAGTATTCAGTCAAAACTTGAATATCTCAAAATTTGCAAAAAATTCGCACATTTTGGCATTTATCTCGAAAACTGGCTAAGCGCGCCCCCAATTTTATTACGGATTATTGATCTACTCATTATTACGCAAATTTTAAGCCATCAAACTCGAAAATCGTAGGAAGCTGAAAAAACACGATCTCATTGTATATATCTATCTTAAATAAAAATAGCGAAAATGCAATTATTTAGCAATATTCAACAAATTAGAAAACTGGGGTCAGAAATCAAGGCAGCGGCCAAATTCTAGTCCAAAATAATTTTTAAAATTATTTCCAGTCATTTTAAATCAAGTATTCAGTCAAAACTTGAATATCTCAAAATTTGCAAAAAATTCGCACATTTTGGCATTTATCTCGAAAACTGGCTAAGCGCGCCCCCAATTTTATTACGGATTATTGATCTACTCATTATTACGCAAATTTTAAGCCATCAAACTCGAAAATCGTAGGAAGCTGAAAAAACACGATCTCATTGTATATATCTATCTTAAATAAAAATAGCGAAAATGCAATTATTTAGCAATATTCAACAAATTAGAAAACTGGGGTCAGAAATCAAGGCAGCGGCCAAATTCTAGTCCAAAATAATTTTTAAAATTATTTCCAGTCAAAACTTGAATATCTCAAAATTTGCAAAAAATTCGCACATTTTGGCATTTATCTCGAAAACTGGCTAAGCGCGCCCCCAATTTTATTACGGATTATTGATCTACTCATTATTACGCAAATTTTAAGCCATCAAACTCGAAAATCGTAGGAAGCTGAAAAAACACGATCTCATTGTATATATCTATCTTAATAAAAATAGCGAAAATGCAATTATTTAGCAATATTCAACAAATTAGAAAACTGGGGTCAGAAATCAAGGCAGCGGCCAAATTCTAGTCCAAAATAATTTTTAAAATTATTTCCAGTCATTTTAAATCAAGTATTCAGTCAAAACTTGAATATCTCAAAATTTGCAAAAAATTCGCACATTTTGGCATTTATCTCGAAAACTGGCTAAGCGCGCCCCCAATTTTATTACGGATTATTGATCTACTCATTATTACGCAAATTTTAAGCCATCAAACTCGAAAATCGTAGGAAGCTGAAAAAACACGATCTCATTGTATATATCTATCTTAAATAAAAATAGCGAAAATGCAATTATTTAGCAATATTCAACAAATTAGAAAACTGGGGTCAGAAATCAAGGCAGCGGCCAAATTTTAGTCCAAAATAATTTTTAAAATTATTTCCAGTCAAAACTTGAATATCTCAAAATTTGCAAAAAATTCGCACATTTTGGCATTTATCTCGAAAACTGGCTAAGCGCGCCCCCAATTTTATTACGGATTATTGATCTACTCATTATTACGCAAATTTTAAGCCATCAAACTCGAAAATCGTAGGAAGCTGAAAAAACACGATCTCATTGTATATATCTATCTTAATAAAAATAGCGAAAATGCAATTATTTAGCAATATTCAACAAATTAGAAAACTGGGGTCAGAAATCAAGGCAGCGGCCAAATTCTAGTCCAAAATAATTTTTAAAATTATTTCCAGTCATTTTAAATCAAGTATTCAGTCGAAACTTGAATATCTCAAAATTTGCAAAAAATTCGCACATTTTGGCATTTATCTCGAAAACTGGCTAAGCGCGCCCCCAATTTTATTACGGATTATTGATCTACTCATTATTACGCAAATTTTAAGCCATCAAACTCGAAAATCGTAGGAAGCTGAAAAAACACGATCTCATTGTATATATCTATCTTAATAAAAATAGCGAAAATGCAATTATTTAGCAATATTCAACAAATTAGAAAACTGGGGTCAGAAATCAAGGCAGCGGCCAAATTCTAGTCCAAAATAATTTTTAAAATTATTTCCAGTCATTTTAAATCAAGTATTCAGTCAAAACTTGAATATCTCAAAATTTGCAAAAAATTCGCACATTTTGGCATTTATCTCGAAAACTGGCTAAGCGCGCCCCCAATTTTATTACGGATTATTGATCTACTCATTATTACGCAAATTTTAAGCCATCAAACTCGAAAATCGTAGGAAGCTGAAAAAACACGATCTCATTGTATATATCTATCTTAATAAAAATAGCGAAAATGCAATTATTTAGCAATATTCAACAAATTAGAAAACTGGGGTCAGAAATCAAGGCAGCGGCCAAATTCTAGTCCAAAATAATTTTTAAAATTATTTCCAGTCATTTTAAATCAAGTATTCAGTCAAAACTTGAATATCTCAAAATTTGCAAAAAATTCGCACATTTTGGCATTTATCTCGAAAACTGGCTAAGCACGCCCCCAATTTTATTACGGATTATTGATCTACTCATTATTACGCAAATTTTAAGCCATCAAACTCGAAAATCGTAGGAAGCTGAAAAAACACGATCTCATTGTATATATCTATCTTAATAAAAATAGCGAAAATGCAATTATTTAGCAATATTCAACAAATTAGAAAACTGGAGTCAGAAATCAAGGCAGCGGCCAAATTCTAGTCCAAAATAATTTTTAAAATTATTTCCAGTCATTTTAAATCAAGTATTCAGTCAAAACTTGAATATCTCAAAATTTGCAAAAAATTCGCACATTTTGGCATTTATCTCGAAAACTGGCTAAGCGCGCCCCCAATTTTATTACGGATTATTGATCTACTCATTATTACGAAAATTTTAAGCCATCAAACTCGAAAATCGTAGGAAGCTGAAAAAACACGATCTCATTGTATATATCTATCTTAATAAACTGCTTTAAAATGAATTGAGATAACGTCTTCTAACGTATAGTTGATGTATTTAACTTTTAGAATGTAGTTTTAAGGTAAAACTCGATTAAAACCCAATAAAACCCAATAAAACCCATTAAAACCCAAATAAAACCCACTTAACATGGTAAAACCCAATGGGTTTTATTCATTTACAACCCATTAAAACCCATTAAAACCCATTAAAACCCATTAAAACCCAGGTCGGAATACCCTGATTGAATAACACCTCAGTCATTGTAGATGACAACTGATGAACAGTACCATGTTTCAATTAAGGAAATAGGTACATTCTCAGAGAACGGAAAGCAGGGGCCCACCAAAGTGCTCCAAAGCTTGTTCATTGATTAATATATAAATTATTTTGAGTATCCTTGACAAGTCTGATCTAAATATATATATGTAATAGCATCTGATTTTCAGTATTTTTCCGGTCATTTTATTAGGGGGATTCGTTTGATATTTAGGGGGTAAAAAATGAATTACGTGGGGGCAAAAATCAATGGGGGTTAATTTCCGTAATTTAGGGGGCAAAAAGCTAAACAATAGGGGGGTCGTTAATTGCATCCCAATAATAATGGGCTGGACAATTGCATGTAGGTAGGTACACGTACCTCAATCTTCAGGAAATGAGAGCAGTTACATAAGATGAGAAAGGCAACTTCTCAAGAAACCAACACCTTGGAGTTATGTATGTCCAAGGCACTTCCAAAGCGTGTGTAAAGATGACTATCATAATTTTGTTAATCAAGCACTTCATTAACGAACGTGCTTAAGGAATAGGTGTTAATGGCATTGGCATTACCTACATAGTGGTGATGTTACACGATGTGTCACAGTGACATTGCCACTGCAGAAAAGCCTGGACAAATCATATTCGTATTGGTATTCATCTGGTAATTATTTCCTACCAGCAACCGGATTGATTATCACTCGGAACTGGTTGGTAAATTTTTCATTACCACCGAGAGGTTAGTTAGTTGTAAAATTTAAAATTAATCATATATTTACAAATATAGATCACTTGTGCGAGCCTACTTACTCGTATGTAGTATTACTGAACAGTAAGACATACGGTAAAAAGCTGTGATTGATGAGTAACTCGGGGTTCCTATACTTTATTTTCCATGGTGGTTTTTGTAGACAGGGTTATGCTTATGCAAGTTCGAAATTTCCAAAGATCAGATTAATTACAATTGGAATGTACAGGGATTTAGATGATTTTGCTGCTCAAAACTTGTTTTCAAGTAAGGTGGATCAAAATGAGCTGCAAAATTCCCTTACATAGATACAAATTTTAATTAATCCGAATTTTGTAAATTTCGAACTTGCATAACCCTGCCAACAGACACTTCGATGGAAAATAAAGTGTAGGGACCCTGGAGTAAAGAAAATTATGTAAACTTACCCGCATCCACTGGCGCCCAATAATCCGTAGCTAGAATTTGTGAGTATATATATGTATACATTGAATTCGTTTAATATCCCAAAATAATTCAATTGATTAACTTACATTTCTCCGACGTCGACATTCATTTCAACACCGGCAAGAACAATTTCGCTTTTTCCATAATGTTTGAAACCATTGTTTATTATCATTGCCATTTTCGAATTTTGTTCCTTCTTTAAAGATGTAAGTTAACCTCTTGGTTAGCAATTACCCACATAAATAACGATTGTGTAACGATTTTTTACCACGTGACTAATAAATGTGTGTAATTCGTAGGCAAAGTATTATTTTTAAAAATAGCTTCGTAATCAAGCGATAAAAATCTGTACACAAAAATATGTAATTTGGTACGCAACAGAATATTTCTGAAGATTGACGGTTGTCATACAGGTTAATCTGTAGTGCTAAAAGTAACTATTATATATGTTTCTTCTGTCGGGCTAAAGTTAGACTGCGCAATTTTTTAGTGCAATTCAAAGGCATATTTTCTTAAAATGAAGAAATCAAGCAGTACATTGTAATAGGTACGAACATTTTTATGCATATATAATGAGAAAGGACGCCAATTAGCATGATAAACAAATGCCTTCAAATATGGCAATGATTTATACCTCGGTTTCTCCATCAGTAAACGTAGGTCAGCACAATCAACGCATGTAAAAACCCATCAGGTTTCCACATTTTACAGGTACTGTAAAACCTTGCCTGCAAATTAACATGTCTAAAAATATTTATTTTCCCACGCTCTATTTTTACATATACAAGAGGTCATGTACTCTCAATTTATAAAGCAAATAAGTAAGATTGGGTTAGGATGCACTGTTGAAAATCCGGTAGAGTCACATATATACTCCTTACTGATATCGATTTGGTAGTAACTTCCTACCGGATTGGTAGTAGTTTGTTTCTGAAGGGTAAATTCTCCACACATCATCGTTACCACAACATTACTGAATTGTAATGCCCGTTATTACCAGTTCCGGTAGAGTCACATACAAAATTTACGCATTTTGTACATACATGTGTACTCCAGTCAGTAATGATTTAGTACCAATTTTCTAAGAGTTCATGACATGAATAAATCCTCACCTACTATTACGTAGAGACGGATCTTAAATGCCCGGGAGAAGCATCAGAAATCGTGGATGCATACGTATGTATGTATGACAAACTTCTCAAATAGTGATCTTGTCTCGTTGTTACAAATTATCTAAGTATTTGTGTGACACCGTGCTTGCGTTGTTTTTGTGATGAGAATATTATTACAATCTTAATTGCCTGGGGAATTTCTGTGCATAGGTACTTACACCTGGTGAAAAAACCCTTTACATACTTAAAATGGGAAAGTCAGCTTCTGCGAGAAACACGTGGGCGTTATAAATTACTCTGAAGTGTTGAGGTTGCCAATCAACAAGTTGAACATATATCGTTTTCCTGTATCGTCCGCAGACATGTATATGCACATATTACGTTATGTAAATATTTACATATTGCAGTGCAGTGCAGCTCTAGAATATGTACATACTTTATGCACTTATGTAAATACCCGTGCACATATTACATATGTATGTATGTATGTATGTATGTACTTACTTATGAATGTAAAGATAACTTTACCTTTACAATTAATCTTTATATGTACTTAAGCATCACGTAATGATTGTAAATTATATATTTGAAAGAACACAATTCTTGGGGACCAGGAAAATAAAATAAAACATTAATTTCCTGCAGGGAAGTAAATAGGTTCAAATTGGAGTTTGACATATTTATGCATTTCAAATTCATCTCACAAAAGTCAGTAGATTCTTCACAAACTGAGGCAATTCTTTAATTGACAAATAAAGAGTGCATACAAATGTAATGTATAATATGTAGTGTTCGACGGTTTTCATATTGCAGATATTTATGTATGTAATAGCCTATTAATTCAATCTGTTTTGTTTTTTAAACGTTTAACAAGTAAGCGTCTTTATTCTTTATGTTATCACAATAATCACAATGAGCTTGGGCTAATTATGTGTGCGCAATTGCCCAAAAATAGCTTTCTATTTCATTTATGTCTCCACCTTCCCGCAATTATTGTTATGAGCAATGAAACAGAAATCCAACCCCCCGCCGATATAAATCCTAAGGCAACAACTGTATTTGAAATTCCCCATCCTCTCGAGCAAATTGATCTCATAGCGTCAATCATCAGTGTCATCGGTAATAAATTGGCTATTTGACGAAATGTCCACGGCATCAATTCCAGAGGCCAGTAAATTCCTAAAAATCGTCATAAGTATTAATACACATATTTACTTCCTGAGTTCTCTCAACTACTAAAAAAACGTAATCGCAATCACAAACCTGTCGTAAAAGCCATAAATACGAAAAAGCACAGAAGTCCTAATATATTTTCCAAAAGTCCATCCCACAGTGCGCTCACGAGAAATCCTGAAAAGTAAGTTGGGCTTTACAATCAGAAATTTTGATACAAAGTGGGTTAAATTGTGTACGTATTTGTACAATGCCTGGAGCGATGGACAAGAATAGGGCACGGTCAACATGACATGTAATCAGCCTTGGATATTTTTGCACTATTTTTTAAATATTTGCCGTAGAATTTTGATAAAGGGCAAATAGTTAAATGACATTAACATGGTGAAAAGGATACAAGATTATTAAAATCGTTCGGTAACGGCCTCCTGATTTTCCACATCCTGAACATGATTTTTTTAAATCTTTAATAAATTTTCTCCGAGTTGTACCTCATAATAAAAATCCTCCAGTTGATGCAAACGAAAATAACTGGGATGTAACACCAACCAGTGTCTAAGGGAAATTCTTGGTCTGGTCCGTTAAACTTATCCGAAATTTGTATCTCATTGCCCCACCCCAAGATCTTTTTTCACGCCCATCCACCCCTAACTTACTAAACTACCCACGCTAAACCTGAAGCAATTATAGTGTCGGACTTTTCCATCGCCCCAGGCACCGTTTGCTCGTTCTTACCCACATACAGTCCCGCAAAGGACGTCATGTACATCAACGCCACCACTACGACCCAGGAACCATTAATCACTATGTCGTACAAGTAATACATTATTCCCAAAAGTGCTCCAATTTGAATGAAAATCATTAAACTTTGGGTAAAAAATGTAGCAATATGGTAATGCCAAAAGCGCACTCCGGCCACATTGTCTCGATCTACAAGTCCACTAATTTTGTCCTCCACTTGAATGATTGTGATTGGCAGTGCCACAAAAAAACTACCCTGAAATGGAAAAATATGATTTCGGTTACAATGCAATGTTGTGAAGTGTGACACTCTGATTTGTCTCTTTTAAAATTATGTGGTCCAAGTCAGTACAACTAACTCGGCAGTTTTTGTGATGGTCAGAATTTGTCAAAATACTTGAATTTAAAAAAAATGGGCGATTTTTACCAAGCAGAAGAAGCAAACCCCACTCCATTACCTTCGAAGGGAAAAATCGCCATTTTTTCAACTTTGACCTCAAATATTTTGACTGATTCTAACCATCGCACAAACTGCCTCAAGAAACGTAAGTTGTATTGACATGGACCACATAATTTTAAAATTTCACAAATCGGAGTGTTACACTTCACACCATCGCATTGTTTGATGACGCATCATGTACCATGGAAATGCAACATAAAAACCAACGTACATAATTAGATACGCAGGTTGTACGAAGACAATATAGTCAAATAATTCTGTGGACCCGTGGATAGCACGGAACTGAAAGAATTGGTATCCATGGAAACATTTAACTTATACTTTCGACTGGTCATGCCAAAATCAGTAAATATTTGTATGTGCATACACGAAGTGGCGGTCGGCTAACATCGCTTGGAAGGGAACAAGCTGACAATATATTTCCAACGTAAATCGTGTATTTCTCCAAAATGGTATTTCTCATCCAAAAAACCAACATCCGTTCTAAAATGTAAAATTCAAAAAAACGAATTTTAATTAACAAACAGGAGATCTGCTTTGTATCTACATCTGTTGTAACTACATGTTCGTATGTACCAGTTTCATCTAATCGAATCGATATCGTGGACCCAAGAATGGTTTCATTATCCGCAAAATTTCGAAGAGCCATTCGGTTTTTTAAGTGTGTTACATAATTTTTAGGAAATTCGACGAGCCCTGTGGTTTTGCCCTGTTTAATTTGTGCGAGCCCCTCTTCGTAAGAATTTGCAGGAACCTTAGACATTTATAATTGTAAATTACATAAATTATTATTTTAATTTACGAAATGTTAATCACGAAAAGTTACCCAAATGAATTGATCTTCATCAAATTTATCAACGAAATTGCAAATCCCCAGGTTCGAGAGACATTCTTGCAACAAACTTTTTGCACCGCAGTATTTTTGTAGGTTGTCGGTGAAATTCAAGTTTGAATTGTGTACCAAGCTTAATTTCATGTGTTTTGGTTGTGGACCAAACACGTTTTGCATTACGACCACGGCTAGGATTGGAAGACAGATTTGAAGCAGATGCAACCTGTTCAATACAAAAACAGTCACGTGAGGTACAAATGTAAATTCACACAAAAATGAGTAAAGGCACCTTAAATCCCTGCGATTTCGGTGGAACCATTTACACATTAATGCCCAGATTATTGATGCATTGTCCAAAGTGACATTAGAAAAAGTGGGTTCTGTTGATATGTCCTGATTGTGTGGCATCGGTAAGGCGATAGCTTCCAGCATGTCGTCTTCCTTGAGATATTTAAATCTCGGCAAGTTTCTCGTAAAATTCGATACTTTTTGGTCGTGTTCACACAATTTTAAAACCAGTTTCTCAATTGTTGGAGCCTCGTGTGTCAAGAGTAGAGCTGTCGGACTGTCTTCAGCAAGAAGGCGACCCCCAAACTTCGGAGTAATAACCATCTTGCTTGCTTGCATCTTCAAATCAACTGACCTTGTCGCAAAATCTGGTCTCCTCGACGTAATGTGTAGAGACTATTATGCTGGTCCCATTATCACGACTAATTTTATGCAAGTATTTCCAAATCCTGTGAAACACACGGATTTTAAGTATAAAACTTCTATGATAAAAGATTTCGAAAACTGACCTCTGTCTTAAAAGAGGATCCAACCCGACGCTAGGCTCTAAATTGGGGTCATTAGTAAGTTGCATCATCTATGTACAATTATAAGCTCAAATTATTACCGTCGAGCACGAGCAGTTTCGGGTTGTGTATCATCGCCGCGGCCAAGGACACCCTCCTCTTTTGCCCACCACTGAGGTATGGATAACAGTTACTGCTTGGTTGCATAATATTCAAGCAATTCACGTAGTCCTTGATAACTTCGTAAAAGCGATAAACTTACAAAATTGTACAACTATTTCTATGGAAAATTAGCCTACACATTTTTTAAACTTCTCAGATCAAGGGTGTCTTTTCGTTTTGTAAAAGTTATTTCACAAAATTTAAGGATTTTACAGTTACAAAAGACTACGTGAATTTCCTCATTATATGTCTGATAAGGAGTTATCATACCTTAGTTCTTGAACTAGTTTATTGATTTTCGGCAAATCTAGAAATTTAGAAAGAAATTCGATTCTTTCCTTTATCTCGACCGAACTCATGGTGTAGAGCATTCCAAAATATTTCAGCGTTTCTGCGATCGTTAGTGTGCCCAACAGAGCGACCTCCTGCATTGCAAAAAAATACATGTATTTGAAATCTTGTAACTTTGCATATGTACACTGGGTGTACATATGCACGAAGTAATTTAAATGGCAACTTCTTTTCTCACCTGAGGCATGTACCCACAAAGACGCCCAAGATTACCAGGATTCGATTTTTGAAACACCGTGACGTTGCCACAATCAAGCTCGAGCAATCCAACAATGCACTTTAGCAGGGTTGTTTTTCTATTCGGAAAACCATAAGTTCATACATAAGTTAATTATTTGCAAAATTATGAATTATACAACTTTATATTTCGCCTATTTACTTATGTAGAGCTAAATATGCATTAAAAACTAATGGGTAAAGATTTTTAAGTGACACTTGCCCGCATCCACTGGCCCCTAACAATCCGTAGCTAGAATGTGTGAATATGCACATTGAAATCCTTTAAAATCCTCCTAAAAATATATTTTACTTGATTTGCTTACATTTCTCCAGTGCCTACACTCATATCAACGCCGCCAAGAACTATTTCAGATTTTCCATAATGTTTGAAACCGTTATTTATTGTTACTGCCATTTCTTGATTTAGTATTTGGTTTAAAATTTTGCAAATCTAAGATGTGTAAAATACTTATGTACATATACAGTATTTGAATACGTGTCTTTGCTCATTCGCATTAAAGCTGGACTGACCAAGTTTTTCGATGGTAGATATATGTTTTAGGCCTTTTAAGATTTTAACATGAAGATGGTCAGTTCAGTAATACGTAGTAACATTTATATATGTACATTTTAACATTTTTGCAATATATCTGCATATACTTGACGCAGGTCAGTGCAATCAAGAATTCTGTGCATGTCAACCCACCAGGTACATATGCATATTTTAACCTGTTATGCTGAGCCAGGTACTTTATCCTCCCTGCAACAAAAATATAGCAAGAAGACAAAATATTTTTTCCCACACTATTGTTACACAAGAAGTTATGTATTTTCCAATTTGTGCACACCAGCATTTAAAAACTAATTTAAGCGTGTTCTAGTAATTCCCACATGCATTTGTTGTGACGGATCTCGGCTAATTATGTACATAAGAGAAAAGTATCAGAAATCCTGTTTAAGGATATAAATATAGTATAACAAACTTCTCGAGTAGTCATTGTTACATACATTATTCATAAGTGATTCTGTATGTAATACCGTGTTTTCATTGATTTAATTGTGAGATACGGTGCGATCTTATATATGTATGTACTTAATAATTGGCTGGACAATTGCGTATACATACATAGGTATTTAGGTACGAAAGTACCCCAACCTGACGTCAGGAAATGAGAGCAGTTACATAAGATGAGAAAGGCAACTTCTCTACGTACACCTTGGAGTTATGTCCAAGGCACTTGCAAAGTGTGAAACTAGCAAAGATGACTATCGCGATTTTGTCAATCAACAACCTCATTAACGAATGTACTTTGGGAATAGGATTGGATTATCGCAGGGGTGATGCTACAGTATTTACATACATAGATATCTATGGCAGAGTGACATTGTCAGTGATAATTTGTCATTGTCAAAAAATCTAGCAGAGTCATATTATTCGTACTCCGTGCTGATATTGATTTTATAACGATTTCTTACGATATTGGTTCACCGATTGGTAAATTTTCCACGAGCAAGTTAATTATGTAGCTGCAAAATTAGAAATAAGTCTTATTAAGCACTTAAATTAGCTATGTGAAGGTGAAGCTACTTGTACATATGTATTTAAAAAAACTAATGTGTGCAGTAGCGTTCCTGTAGTTTATTTTCCATGGAAGGTTTTGTAGGCATGGTTATGCATTTCAAAATATTAAATTAATTAAAACTTGAATCTATAGAAATTTTGATACTTCTGTTGGTATTGGATAAAAATTGTCAAGTAAACGAATCAAATTTAGCTGTAAAACTCCCGTAGATTAAGATTTCAGTTGATATTATTTTTGGAAATTTCGGACTTGCATAACCCTAAAATTAACATATTTGTCTGAAAAAAAAACATTTTACAAATTGATAAACTTCCATTGACTACCAAATCTTTTTAAAATTCTGGAAACAATTCCACAGACTGTGTAACTGGTACGCAAAATGGAAAACGATCTCGTGTGTAATTATCTAACTGGTAGCTACGAGGATTAATTTTGCTACACAAATGTCTGTAATTTGTAGGCAAGAAAATATTAATAAAAATTGACTGGTAGCATACATATGTATGTAGAGGTTAAACTGCAGCGCTAAAAATGAGTACTATGTTTCTTCTGTTCGGCTAAAGTTGGACGGACCAATTTTTCAGCTTAATTCAAATTCCAAAGGCATATTTACATGCGCTCTTAACATGAAGATGATTCGGTGCATTGGTGCATATTTAGTAGTAGGTACATACATATGTATATTTTTATGCATGTCACAAGACGGGAAGCCAATTAAATAAGCGTAGCACAATAAGCACGACAATGATTTATAACTAATTGTAAGTTTCTCCATCATTAAACCTAGGCCAATATAATCAGCATTATGTAAACCCACCAGGTTTCCACATTTTACATAACCTGTTGTAGCATATACTTACGTACATACATATGTACATCTATATTATAAGCTGGAAATGTTTGTCTGCAACGGAAGTAAAAGTACATAATTTTCCGTGACGGAAGTGAAAGTGGAGAAAGTTTCACTTCCTCTGCCAAAAGACATTTCCATTTAATAATATAGATACCATAAAAATAATAATTCGGTGGAATTATGAATAATCTAACAATTTTCACAAAAATCAAATTAGCCCGTCGCCCGGCGGGAGACGGGCTTATATGCTAGTACATATATAAAACAATAAAACCTTACCAGCAACTAAACACGTACAAAAAAATACTTGTTTTCCTACACTCTATTTTATATAGTAAGTTATGAATTCCTCAATTTGTTTATAACAATTAACATTGGATTGGTGTGTGTATTAATAAATCCGTACCTGCTATTACGCAGCTACGGATCTGAGACATCGGTTATCGAAGAGATTAGATGTATATATCAGAAATCATGGATGCGTACATATCTCAAACTTGGGAACGAATAAGCACAATCTTAATTGGCTAGGGCATTTCTGGACATAGGTACTCAAGCATACTTATATACGTCGTGAAGTGAATATGCATAAAACGAGAAAGGCAGCATATACGAGAAACAAGTGGGCGTTTCAATTTAGATACTTCCGAAGGGTTAAGGTACGAAGTTTGTTAATCAACAACTTTATCACAAGTGTAGACACATCATCGGCCTAATAAATAAAAATCAGAAATGAGCAATGTAAATATTACATATTGCAGAGGAGCTCTACAATATGTGCACATGCACTTATGTATATATGTACATACTTTAAATATATATGTATGTACTGTACATCAACTTATAAAGTTAACCTTACACATAAATTTTCATATTTATGAACCACGTAACGATAATAAATTATATATTTTTCGTTGCACAATTCTTGTGCACCAGGAAAATAAAATAAGATATTAATCTCCTACAGGAAATTATGTAAATACATATGCTCAAATTTTTACAGACTTTGGACATATATACTTCAAATTAATCTCGCATAAATCAGTAGATTCTTCACAAACTTAGGCAATTCTCTAATTGCTTATCAAGAAATGGATACAAATTTATATGTTTACATGTATGTATAAATACGAATCCTTGATGCTACGTAAGTAAATTGCACATATGCAGTACCCCCCAAGTGGTACATACATATGTATTTATATGTTTAGCAAGAAGAAGAGCTTGACGAGAGACAAATGTTTCGAATATTACTCCGTCTTTAATTATATCATTTCATGTACTTATTTTGGGTGAAGTAATTATTTGTCATTCGGTCTTAAATATGATATTGATAATGTATTATTTTACATGTTTAAATTCACAGGCACATGAATGCACATGAATGGTACACAGTGTGCCTGTGTACTTATTTCTATATATACGAAAATACGTATTCATGCCTCTATTGAACTTTATCATATATTTTATGTAAATGTTGCCTTACACGACTTATGTATTGTGTCTGTATACAGGAAAAAGTGAGCATTTTTGCATTGGTTAGAATTTTATATACTTAAAAGCGTTCAACCCTCAATCGCATTACATGTTCACACACGACTGTTTACATTGGTAAATAGTCAACAATGAAATAATTAAATAAATTATTCCATGAGTGACGACAATGATTATCCTGAGTGATTCATGCACTTTAAGAAATTATGTGAAATGGCAGTTTATCTAATAACACCAGACGACGATACAGAAGGAAAGTGGAATTTAATATCTCATTATCAGATTTCCAGACACCCGATAAACACAGACACGCAAGGCTGCCGCAAAGATCTGAACTTATACACTTGTTAGACAAGGCCAAATGAAGGTTTTTCCAGTGCGAGTAATTTCTGTATGGTTTGAATTTTCTGGATGCCGTATTTATAGGAAACAAAAACACATTGACGAAATTACGGCAAAAAATGAATTTTTTTGCAAGCATAATTTCTTGTAAGTTGTAAGGTACAAGCAATAGAAACCGCACCATCTAGCGGACAATAACGATACTTAAAGGATTAGCTGCTAGGTGGCGCCAATTACTTAAAGCAAACACTGGCTAGATGAGTTTACAGGCTTAAGGCGGCGGAAAACCATCGATTTCTGACCAAGTCTAATCTTCTTATTTGGCATTCGCCATTTTATTTTGACAAATTTTCTTGAATACTTCGGACTTTATGAAATTATTCACTGCCAACATGATAAATCATAAATTATCATCAGTCAAAGGGAAATTCTTCGGCAGACAGTCAAATTTTCTCATATTTTGGCTCGATATTGGCTACTTTATGTGCTTAATTCCATTCACGATAAAATCAGAACCCCACTTTGCAGTAAAATCATCCGTTTTCCAGAAGGTGAATTAAAAATAAAATCTACATTTATCAAAACTAAATAATCCCACGAAAATATTAATATTTCCAGCTTTTGTGTTCCCTTGTCCACGCTGCAACAATGTTTCATTACATAACAGAAGCTTATAAGTCGGAGGCACATCCCCAACAAAATAATCAACAATCAACCATTTATTTCGTTTGGCTGCTAGACGTTACCACCATCTTGTACAGGGCAACGCTAATCAAAATCCTGTGGAGAGATTCTACTCGATTCCTTAATCTGGCAAAGTTCCTACAGAAATATAAACATCTAGAAATTTTCCAGCATAAATGTTGGGTACATAATGTTAACAAATTAATTTCATAAATAAATTTGATATGTACCAAATCAACTACAATTTTCCATTGATTTACAGGCAAACTCTAAAATATTCTTGATTCTTATATGGTCCTTTTACACGATAAATATAATCCTCTATCTTGTTTATGGCGGATATGTGTTCCAATGGGAAAACGACGTTATTTCGTTAGATTTAATGTTTCGGAAATATATCGAAAAGGCGAGAATAATTTTCTTCTCAAGGAGTGTCACCAGCCCGCAGGATGTAAATTTATTGGATGGATTCTTAGCACTAATCATTTTTATTGGGGCGAATTGTCAGCAAGTTATGGCCTTCTTTGTCTATGGCTTAACGCTGGTGTTGGTCTTATCATTGTGGGCGCCTGTTCAAGGATTTAAACGGATATTGCAGGAAACAAAGGTTCGCACATACATAGAATTATGTAATTATGCTTTCTTTATTTGAGTGGAAGAAAATATTTCTATACGACTCCACAAAAGTGGCTTTGATGTAATACGCGGTGTAGTAATTGCTCGATATTAAAGCTTCACCATACTGGTAACAAACTTTTACAGTCCGGTATAATTTTAATACTAAGCGGTAGCAAGAGCAATTATAATTCCGACAATCAATACTTGGGTAACTATACCAGATTTCTAACAGTGTAATAACAGTATAAACCTAGAAACTTCTATTTTTAGCCCGAACCAGGGCTTATGTAATTGTCATGTCCGTCTGTCCGTCTGTCTTTCGATAACTCTCGAACGAGTTGACCGATTTTTACCAAATTTTGTACAGACATGTATCTGGGCAATGCAACCACCGAGTTCGAAGATGGGTTTTATCAGAAAAGTTTTGGGCCGGTGGGGGTCATCAGAGTGGGTGGGGTATTATGCACCAAAATTTCAAAATTGTCGTAGAAACATAAAATTTGGTATAGAGGTTGCTAATGGCTCCTAATGAAAGAATATGAAGTGAAATTGGAAAATTTGTCAACCGGGGGTACCCGAGGGGGTGACCCACACCGATTTTAAGAAATTACCGTAAGAAATTGAAATTCGGCACTGTGATACTTAATGACTTCTCATGAAATAATTTGAAGTCAAATATAAACAAAAAGTAACCGGAGGGGCACTAATCGGTGACCCATCCCGATTTCTATGAGTTTATATATTCAGCAGAAATTTAGGATGGAGGCGAAAAATAACTTAGGATTAGAATTTAGGAGGGTTGAATTTCGGATCTTTTTTATAGAAAATTCTGACAAACATGGGTTTACTAAACGTTCCTGGTTCGGGCTAAGCAAAGCTGTACTGATAGGTTTTTAATCTGTTGAAAGAAGAAAAATTGTACTTATTCTATTTTAACCACCCACGAAAATTGTAAGTTCCGCTAATTCATGTTTTATCGACAGGGAGACGACCTGCAACTGGAACATCCAATCAAAAAATGGTCACATACCTCCTTTTGCCTTCAAGTGAAGATGATACAGAAATATTCCTCACTAATTACACAGCACTGAAACAACTATCGAAATTAATTAATTCCGCTGCCAGTCTTATAATTTTCTTCTTTGTGGGAGAAGCTCTACTCTATTATTCTGTCAGCCTCAGCTACATTTTTGTGGCGAAGAATGATATTGCTAGATTTCGAAAATCTATATTTTTCCTGAATTTTATATCCGTTCTGTTCTTTGCGGGAGACGCGTGCAAATCCGTGGAGGATTTGGTAGAAAGTTGGACATCGCGAATGGTGCAAGCGTCGCAAGGGTACGAGCTGAAAAGGAGTGGATATTTGACGCTGCTTTTACATGAGGCTAAATCACATGCCGTTGGGATCAGTGGACATATTTTTGTGCTGAGTTATACCTCCATTTTCAATGTAAGCGAACCTATTTTAACCCTTTAACGTGTATGATTAACGACAAAAAAATGCATTAAATCGGGGACACTATAAGTATGTTGTGGTCATGGCGCGGGAGGAGAAATTCAGGAGTTTTTAATAAAACTCGAAAAACTGAAAAATCAAAAATTTAACATTGAGTTGTATAGGGAAATATCCAAATTTTTGGGAAGAAAATCTTCAAATTTAGCATTGTGTTGGCATAGGAGAAATCCCTCAAAATTGCAACAAATTTTAGGTCGCGGAGAGAAAATGGTGAAAATCAATGACCTCCTAGAAACGACAATTGTCGTCCTTCCGCGCCATGACCACGATTTTTCAGGACGACTTTTGTCGTACTCCCGAATTAAACCATTTCTTATAAAACGACTATTGTCGTCGTTACAGTTTAAAGGGTTAAGGGATTAGTTGTACACATTTACTTGAAATTATTTCAGTTTTTGCGTATATATTTTGCAGTTTGTGGCTACTATGGTCACATACTTTGTGATTTGTTCAACAATTCAAGGCTGATAATGAACTGGAACTCGTTATTTCCGGTGTCAAGTTTGGCAAATTGTGCACTTCATTAAGGAGGAAAGGTTCACCACTTGCCACTCTCAGAATTCGATGATTCTTTCTACATAAATGTTGTCGTATCTCATAAGTGAACAACGACCCTCAGCTGATTTGATGCCATGGTCACATTTGACCCTGCCACACCCACTCAAAAGGACAAAAATTACGAAAATCTACGTCTTCAAGCTCTCGTCAAAAATCCAATTGTTCGGATTTTTAAAATTCTTGCACGATTGTAGCCCAAGTAGTCCAAGATAATTGTTTTATCATATCATATCCTATATCAAATTCAACTTTTTTTAAAAAAATTTATTATTTTTGAAAATTACTTGAAATTGAAAACCTGAAATTTCTTAAGAATTGGATTTATTTAGACTTGAAGCGCATATTAAATTTTACTAAAAATAGTTAATTACTGAATGTTATTGAACTTTGTTCTCATCAATTATTCACTTTTTACTTCGAATGGTCTGCATTGCCAGACAAAAATATTTACATACGCCTGCTACAATTTACTTTCAATAACACTAAACGATATTATTGCGGCATATTCGTGATCACTTTCTGTCATTATTGAGATTATAATTATCTTTTCTGCTTCGTAGGACACGATTCTGTCTCTCAATTCAATTATGTAAGTTCAAATATACGAAACACCCAGTTCAGAAATATTTGCGCAAGTCAATGGAATATTTTAGTAGTTCCTAGGAATCAAGAAGAATTAAGACATAAATATTTTTTCATTTTCATATTTAAGCAAATATCTAGTTTTGTTTTGAACTTTTATTTAATCTGCAGCATTGAACGTAATGCTAAGTACGTAATTTTCTTCCATAATTTAAATCCATATTCATTTTCAATTTTCCTAAAATTTTCATAAACCTGCAGTATTTATATCTGGATTTCTAAATTGACTTGAAAGTCTTTATTATGGGAAACAGTGTAACATCCCCACAAGGAAAGGCACAAAGAGCACTTTTCAGATTTAAAGTCTTATGCAAAATTGCCCATCTAACTGGCTCATTCCCAGTAAAAAGAGGTTTCCAAACCGGGAAAGAATTTGCATCTTTTACCGCAAATAAATTATCATGGCCCTTCGTGTACAGGTTAATTTGCAACAACTTATTATTAAGTCACCTCGAATGATAATTGTTCCTTTTCTCATTGTCCAGTTGTACTTTGGGCTACTTCATAAAAATCTACTGTTCCGCCTTCATCCCAGAACCGATATCCCTCTCGACACATCCAGGCAATATAACCCGCCAGGGTAACCGAACCGACCTTTCGGTTACCGACATCGTCACAAAAGAGGCCGCTTTCTTACTCATCGACTCATTTGGCCTCGTCACCCATATTCTCGTCGCTATCCAGACCGCGAAATTTCTCGAGATTGCCGCCCTCCTAGAAAAATATGTCATCTCTCATCCCCCCACCAAAGTCAAGCTGTTCAATTCCTGGACAAATGGAGAGTTAATACATAACTTATTCTTCCTCACATACATGACCGTCTGGGCTTATTCGACCTACTCTGAACTGAAGGACAGAGTAGTTTTCCTCTCGCTTTATTTAATTGGTGGATATCACCCCCCGGTTTGGGGGTATACGATCCTTTACTTTGTCACATTTAGCATTTTGCAATACAGCGTATGGTTCTTGCACATGCAAATATTCTTTCCCGCCAGTCTTATCGAGGCATGTTTGGCTCAAATGGTCACAGAAATTAAGGAGAGATCCAAAGATACTGCAATTTTCGAGGGAGAATTCATTACGTCGAAATCAAAAATCAAATCGATTTCGTGGACCGTTATGAATCGTCCTAACCTTAGTTACGGTTCTGACCACGTGTTTTGGACATCTCTAAGTGCCCGGTATATTCAAATTGAGAACATTGTAGCAGCCTTTCAGACCTTCTCCGGTCCTTATGTAATAATTTCGCTATTATTTTCTGTTGCCTCGAGTATTTGCGTGATTTATGTCGGAACCATGTCGGAGCTGGTCTGGTCGAGTTCGATCCTTTCTCGCTGCATGATAGAGGGCACCGTTGCCACGGCGTCATATCGAGTTTCAGCCATCACAAATGTGGGCGAAATGTTGAAGGAAAAATATGCCAAGGTGCGGAAAGAGGTGGCCATTTCGAGACATAATTTTCAAGAAAGGGCGACACATTTCAATAACGATGAGCAAGAAGAGGTTAGAAATATTTGCGAGTTTTTGGGTGTAAATTTCATGAAAAATTATAAATCTATGAAAATCTTTAGTTCGAAAATTTCGCCCGACTGGTGGACTCGCTACCGTTAAAGTTAAGCGCGGCCGGTTATTTTAACGTGAGCAGGAAAAATGTCACTTCGGTAAGTACGTAGTATAAAATTACTTGGTCTTGTTTAAGTCAATTACTTGAGATTTCTTACTGAATTTTGCAGATTATAAGCGTTATTATCACGTACTTCATTGTATTGCAACAATTTAAAATGTCAGAGAAATAAACTGCGAAATTTGAGAGGTTTGCATCGGTATTGAATTAATTTATTGTTCTCATTCTCCAAGTGCTCATTAATAAATAATAGAGGCGTGAAATTAAATAATGATTTTTGACATACACAAACATCAGGCCATCCCTTAGATATATAAGTAAATAGTGCTTATTATTTTGGGGTTGTCTAAAAACTATATCACAAAAATTACATGTTAACTGCGACCAGTTGATATTATGTAGGAATAACTGAAACTTGAAATTAAATAAATATTTAATTATAACAAATGTCTAATTAAATAAATATGCTCATGCAGAAATATGTAGGAGTGCTGTTTGACAAAAAGATCTAAATTCATGATAACCAAAACAAATATTTTCACGATTTGCATAAAAGAATTCATCAATTTTAATGCATTGTTCAAATTAATTCTAAGAAACCACTCGAACCTAAATATTCATACTTATATCTCACTATTCCTCTTCTTAGTTCGAGAGGAATAATTTCCGTGTAACATATTTTCTTCAATATAAATTATTTTTAATTGTAATTACATAATAATGCGTCAAGCGACATCTTCCAAATCATTGTTACCATTTTTTACCATTTCACCTGCAAGCCCTAAATTTACCCTTTTCCGATCTAAAATATTTTTAAACCTCCAATTTTGCCAATATTACGCGTCTTTTTCTTTCCTTTCTCCCTACAAATATTCGGTTTCGTCGATGCTGGATTTTGACAAAAATACTGGATTCAAGTGCACCACGAATATTTTCAGACAGGTTAAATTTGTCATTTTTACACAAATCGAGAGCTGTATATAAATCTAGACAGTCATCAAGTTGTCACCGATGTATCGTCCGTGTATTCACATTGGTGACAAATTGATTACCACATTAATTAAATAATGGGCGTACTCACGATACTTTGTTAAGTTATCTTTCGAAAAAAAACAATGCAAATTTCCTGAGTAAATTTGTAAACCAAAATTACATGGTTTCACTCTAAAAAATATTTCGAAATTTTGTAAAATATGCACATTTATTTTGATATGCTCAATGTAGATACATATACTCAGATTTGCGAGCTTTAAATGCGCAGAGTGTCGCGAAAACACCCTTATTTCTGCACTTTACTAACAAATTAAAATATTCTGCATTTCTGTCTTAGATCATCTCCATCTCGTATCCAGCACTGCTCATCCTCTCATTTTTCCTCCATGGAGGTTACACAATTACAAAACCTCTTCGCCAAAATCCAGCCAACATTTATGAAATAATTCGCACGTATGCAGCAATGGGAGGTGTGGTATTGTTCTCCCTTGCATTAAGAAGCAACAGTGGAAAAACTATGGGTAGGCTTTACTTCCAATGCTACCAATTGATGGATATTAAGTTGCATCGGAGAGGGTTTTGGGATATAATAAAGGTAAATTGCTAAGTTTTAATCCTACGTTTTTGTTCTACATTCACGCATAGTCGTTGGTAATTTGCAAAATCCATAAGTTTTGTAAAATAATTAGACGAACTTTTACAAAATAAAAAGACACCCTTCATCAGAGTAGGTTTACAAAAATTTGATAATTTTCCATTATTAGTTAAATTATTAGCTATTTTCTAAGTTAGCTAATTTTCCTAAGAAATATTTATTAAAGTTTGTAAGTTCGCAAGAGTTGCGGTTTACAATGTTACCAAGGACATCGTCAATTGTCTCATACATAGTTTGGTTCTGTTGGCTCTCAAAAATTACCCAGACTGGTTTTCGGAAATTAAAAACAATAACAAAATGCTCGGTTATATTAGTTTGCTCCACACAGGAAGTTTGTATAGCCTAATAAATATGTGTACATTTAGGACCACTGGATCCCAATTGGACTCTTGATCCTACCTGTTTTATCCTTAATACAAATGCTATATGGGTTGCTACATCAGGTGTCAAGCTTTTCACTAAATCCTCTGAAATCCATCATGTTCGTCACTTATCTGGTCATTCTCGATTTCGCCATGTATTCATTCATCGCGTTTTCGTACATCACTATCATTTCATGCTACCAACTCAGCAAAGAATCCAGACAATTTTTGGCTAAAAATGGAAAAAATCTAAATTTTCAACAGGTCAAGGCTACATAATTCAAAAATTTGACTATGAAAAAGTTGTGTATGTACGAAATACACAAAATTTAACGAATGTTTGAAAATTATAGATCTTGGAGCATCACGCCTTATTGAAGGAAATATTTCAAACTATGAATAAATGGGTGTCCAACGTCCTCTTTAGTACAATTTTCATAGAAACGGCCGCATTCTGTAACTTTATGGGAATCTTGGAGCAAGTACCGATCTTTAATTTGATTGAAATTATGGTCAATTTCACCATATTTTTTGCCATGATTTGTACCTGTGCGAAAAGCAGGGCGAATGTGAGAAAAAAACTTGGTTTAGCAGGAGTACATATTTTGATGCAAGTTAGAAAATAACACGACATTATTTCTAGTTCCAGGAAATGTCGCAAATTATTTATGATTCGTGGCGGATGGGATGTTTCAATGTTAAGGAAGAACATAGTGTGGCGATATTGTTACTGGACATGGCCGAGAATCCTTTAGGTCTGAAGGCACAATCTTTTCTGGTCACATATTCTCTCATCGGAACGGTAAGAATTTTAAACACACATTTATAATAAGAATTACATACATTAATTAACTGAAAATAAAATTCCATGCGCGTTGCAGATTTTGGGGACGATATTGACCTATGTCCTAATATATTTGCAATTTAGCGCAACACACATCGGACCACAATCCATAAATGATTAAAGGTGACATGTAAATGCCCGTTTGCATACTACTATACTAACGTTAGAACATACATGTATGAATTCACGAACGTATCTTGTGTATCCATACTTTAAAAATACAAATGTGCTTACAAATGTGTTGTTTTTCATATATGCTGCTTATTTGGAATACCTTACATAACTTCTGACAATTATGTAGGTACGAAACTTTGAAAAACGTCAACAAATTATACCTGGACAAATTATAAGCTCGTGGCCCTCTTAAATACTTGGAGGGGAAACATGTAACATGGTGAAAAGTTCTTGGTTAAAAAAAGTCTAAAAAGCCTGTCATGAAGTGACCACTAAATGTATACTTGCAAATACACTTATGCAAATACTTGCTAAATGGTAAATTGTAACGCGAAATAAATTCGCATATGATGGTCTAGAAAGTTTGAAAAGAGATAAGAAAAACACCAGTTCGAATGTTTGATCAAGCCATTGTGAAATTTATTCTGTGGGCGATTTAAAAGACAAAAGATCCTTTGTTATATTCAGACACCTGTCATTACTCCGATGGAGTGATATTTAAATATTTCCAGATCCACCACGTACGCAAAAAATTCTTAGACTACTGTCGTGTACAACTTGGGTTCATATTTTTTCTAATTTTTGTACCCAGTGAAACCTTAGAAAATATTAAAATATATAAAATGCGGCTCCAAAATATCCTCCTTATATTGGGAGATCTGTTCACTATGTCCAGCCAAACCTGGCCAGATAGCTACTCCCAGATTGAAGTAATATCCTACATTTTGAAGAATTTTGGTCAACCCAAGTTTATCCTGGTACATGATAAATCCACCACGTCCTCAACTGCATCAGAGTTTGCAGAGGACAGAATACTCCAATTTGCACAGGATCAATTTATCCCATTTAAAGAACTTCTACCTGAAATTAACATCACAAGCGACATCATTGACGAAGAAATATTCCGCTTAATATCAACTTTCTCCAAGTCCAAATTTAACCCAGCAATCTATAGCCACTTACTGCTTTTACCGACATCCTCACTACGCAAAAGTTCCCCACAACCACACCCCCTCATCCTCTTTAACTCGGTCACTTTACTGATTCGAGATACCCCAAAATTACCCCCCATTTTCTCCAACAGCTTTCCCCTCGCAACCTTCCTCCTCAGCTCTGCCGGACCATACCAAATCTGTCACTTCTGCAGTCTCCATAATTACCACGCATTCAGAAAAATTACACCCCACTTCCAAACCTCATCGTCCCCATTACACGAAAATTTCCACCTGGCTCCCATCTACATTGGAAATCTTGGCCAATTTTCGGGCAAAATTCCCCCCAGGTTTTTAACCCCACAAAGAAACCGAGTAAACTTGATAACATTTCTCGCCGTCAACGTGCAACTTCTCTTCAACCTCACCGTCTACGCTGTGCCCAGCAGTGAAGATGACAACGGGATGGAATCCGTCATCGTCATGGTGCTCAAGTCAACCGCGAATCCTGTCGAAAACTTGTTCAGCTTCGGAGAGAAGAAGGAAATCACATTTATCACGAAGCGTCAACCCCACCCGTTCGACTGGACTTGGATCAAGGGGCCTTTTGAGCCTCAAGTGTTGATCCATTTTGCCCTCGCATTCGTCATCATGTCGATTTTTATCTATTTGATCGTTACCTTATTGAACGATTGCGGTTTACAAATTAGCATTTTGCCCTTCACGATTTCGTCCTCGTTCGAACTCATTTTAAGGCTGGTGTTGGACCAACACTTGGAAAAGTTACCGTCATCAAGGACACCATTTCGGGTCGCATTTTGCTCCTGGCTTTTGTGCTGTCTCGTGGTCACGGAAACTTATCGGGGCGAAATTGTGGGACATTTCGTCAAACCGCTGTACCTTGATGGGCCCCTGAACTTCTTAACGTTGGGGCAAAGTGGGAATTTCTTTGTGAATGGGTTCAAAATTGAAAGAAGGAATACAACGAGTTGGATTAGCAATGTCGTTCGTATCCTTGAGATGGAATTTGAAGCCAGAAATTTGAAAAAATATGGACAAATTTTGGACAAGTTTAAAACTTCGGAAAATCGTTTTTTGGAAACGCCATTTGACGCGTATAAACGTCTCGTGTTCACGGAAGATGCTTTCATCGAGGAAACCACGAGATTGGAAATGTTTGTGGGGATGGACATTGCTAAAAATATGTTCCAACTGGGAGAAGATTCCATTGCCAGATATGCGTACACGATCGTGATGAAAAACGTTTTTAGCAGGAATATTCTAAGCGTTTTTCAGACTATGGTTGATTCAGGCCTAATTCAGGAGAAGGTGGCGGGTCAAAGATCACTTTCAAAATATAGGTTTAACGCAATGATGAAAAAAATGATAAAAAATGAGACCGACGGGGTACGTGAAGAGTTGGAAATTGGGAAAAGTGAGACACATGTCCCATTAACGATTTATCATGTTAAGAACGTTTATATCATTAAGGATGTGTTTTATGGCGTTGCGGCTATAATCTTGGTCCTGGAATGTGTAATGGATCGGTATCATATGGCGAGTAGTTGTGATAACTTTAGATGCAAGTTGCAGGAATATATGTTTGTTCTTTGGGTTTGGATAAGGCTCAAGTTTATTTTATTGTACATTTATATTTTTTCAGAATTTCCACAATGGGTCAAGACATAACTTTATGTTAACATATTTACATATGTAGCAAGCAAACTCAATAGCTAAGACATTTCAATGCTCGGGTAATATTTTTAGAAAATATCTTATTATTTTTGGAAAATTAAGATCAGCTTGGTTAAACTTGGAGAAAGTCATTTCATTCAAGTGCATTGTACTTACCTAACTTATGTATTTAATTGACATTTGAAAAATTTTAATAAATATTACCTATACACTCTTAGAAATGTATCTAACTTAGCGCTGAGTTGCTTGCCTACATACACTGTACGGGGTATTGATAAGTCTACACAGGGTAAAGTGGCCAACCCTTCACCGGGTTTGCCCAAACTTTACTCTGTTTAGCCAACATTACTTGCGTTTACTCGAGCAAGAGTTGCCAATGCATATCTTACCCATGGCAGAGTTATCTGAGTTGGGCGCGAGGTCGGCTGGTAAACCACAAAGCACCTCATTCCACACTCAACCGCCTTCCGCATACGCTGCGAGTGTCATTTTGGCAGTGGAAATTTATTTATTTTCTGACCCCCATTTAATTTTAACCACCCCCACTCGAAAATGGCAACACAAGAAGTGCAAGGACTTCTACAGCAATTTGGATTACAAGAATCGTAAAAAATTGAGGGTAAATAGATATTTAAGTAATTCTTGCAAATTGTACAATAAATTTTATTCTTATAAATTTGATTTGAATTTTCCGTCTTATTTTCAGATCACCATATTACAGATGACGAATTACTAGAGCCATCGAAGGGGGAGAGACGAGGGATGAAATTTTAAAATTGATAAATAATTAATAAAATTTTAAATTGAAATTATGTAAGCAAAATTAAGTAGATTTCAAGTTATTTGCATATACCGCTCTCACAGAAATAGCCCGGTACCGAGTAAGCAGTACTCCTATGAGGGTTACCAATGCGCAGTGCCCTGGCTGGAAGCGTTACTCCGCTGAGAGTAACGCTGTATTTTCACGGAGTAAAACGCGTAACTCTTTTGCATTTAAGCTCCCACGTACACCATAGAGAGTGCAAACACTATTAACTCTGGCATGGATAGAATTTTACTCCGTGTGGGGTTATTTATTCTTACAGTGTATCAATACAGATACAGTTTAACTACATGCATCCCAAATTAAAAGACGAATTTACCACGAAATTCATCTCTTTCACTCCTCCTTGATGGGATGTAGTCCGATGCGTACAAACCAACATAGGTACATTTGTACATATGTATGTACATATGTACATACAAACATACATGTGAACTTGCGCCACTCTCTGAACAAATGACTCTCAAACAAATTCAGGTATGTATCATTTAGGGATTTTATCCTATTAAGATGCACATACTACATATATTCGAGTTCCTCTTTGGCATCCAACCGTGCACGGCGTGTCTCTCTCTCGCTCTGCAACTGGATCCTCTTCCATCTGGGTCGCGGGTGTGCCAGGGCTAGTAAAGTGTGTCCCAAGGCCATTTCGCCATGTGAGCCTCGTCCACTCACACCCCCCACCTGCGTGCCTGGTAACACCCCCTGCCACACCCGTCCCAGCAACGACAAGCTGAGCCATCAGGCGAACACGGATCTCGCCGGACTCAGTGCACGGGAGGATCTACGCCAGGAGGACTCCCCCAGGTAGGTCATTGTTTGATATGTCGGGGTGGTGACCATGGGGGGTGGTTGGTGGAAGAGTGGGAGCGGGGTCGTGCATGGCGGTGGGCAGCGTAGTCGGGGCTACGGGGGTCCCATGACCCGGTTGTGCTGTAAGGGATGAAGGGGCAAGTGGGTAGTGTCGATCGGCCCCGGCTGAGGCCATATGGGGACACTTAGCCCGAGCCCGAAAGGGCGCTAGGGTATTTTGTGGTCCGTGGACGCCCCGCCCAACAACCTTCATTCGTCTTGCTTCCGCCTTCACGGTGCCGTCCTCATTTGGATATCACCACTCTCCCGTGAGATCTACCTATGATCTCTATCACTCATTTGTCCTGCCTGGGTGTCTCTGTAGTCAGAGCCGAATGGACCTCTGGGCCACATTCCCAGAGGTGATAGTGGTTTTCCTAGCTCTCCATCCTAGCTAGGTTTTCCCACTATTCCTCTGACTACTCTCTACATTACATTTACGATTACATTCACATTTACATATCTAACTCTGTAATATTTAATGTTGATGAGGGCTGCTGGCCATATATCAATAAATACTATACTATACTATACTACATATATTCTAGCTGGTAATTATCTTTAGCTTGATACTAATAATTTGAGGGGAATACAATTTTAGACATTCAAAACTGATACGCTGCAAGTGAATAATATGAAAGATATAATATCCAAGGTTCGGTATTGAATACGTCAAGGTACTTTTAGATTTTTTTACATTTGGAAATTTGGTATATATGTTCTCGTATATGTACAAATGTTACAGAGATATGATGAAAATACCTTGGTGCTGTAGTTTATATAAATAATGAAGGCTTCTACAGCACCACTTTAGAATTTTGATGTATGTATGTATAGGAAAAGTCGCACATTCTAACATCTAATCCTAAGTATATAGCGTTCATTTTCCGCTTTTTTATATAAAACTATAGTACCACATGCACTAAAACTAGATAAAACTATAATTTTTCATTTTCTCAATTTCAAAATGATTTTAATAATATTTTTTAATTGATAGAAATCAGAGGTCGACGCCGACAAATTTTCGGCGGCGGCGGCGCCAGTTTTTGGTGATTTTTCGGCGGCGCCGACCTCTGATAGAAATTGTCACCCATTTTATGCAACTCAAAAAAATTCACGAATGACGATGATACATAGATGACAAATGACAATGATAGATTTTATTACGTAGATTAAAGAAATCTGAATAAATACGTTGACTTACATATGCGCAAACATAGAATTTACTATCCTGAATGCGGATGTAGATAACAGTGAATTGTGTATGAACTTACGTCATCAATCAGATTATTGCACACACAATTTGTGCGACACAAATGTACATAAACCGACCGGCTGATTCAGATTTTACCTGGAACACAATACGTTTCTTGACGTATATTTATCTGAAATAATAGATAAATACGTACTCCCACTTACTTCAAGTAATGGGTTTCATAATAAACGATTGTCACCGAAAGTGAGAGTCAAATACATACATATTTATAATTATAATCGTATAATCGGTGTATCTACATACATAAATTAAACCCTTGTTCTAAGTTTGTAATTCAAATTCCAACATTGGTTTCCTGAATCGACTGCTATCGTTATGGATCTCGACGCCAAAAATAAAGAATACGCAGAGATGAAGAAAAACAACGCCTATCTCTGCAAACTAGCCACAATCTCCAACAAAAACCCGAAATACTTAATGCCACACTTAATTTCCGCTTCAAATTCTGTAACAAAAATAAATACTTTTTGCCCAGATCCTCCCGAAATTTGGGAAAAAAACTCCAGGCAATTTGACCCTTGAAAGCAACCTCAAATATAAAAATCATTAGTTGGGGAGACTGGGATTTTGGTGTTGCTGCTACAAAGAAGTGTAACTTTCAACATCGGCAAGAATTTGACGATGTCGTGTCACAAAGAACAGGATGCTGGATATTCGACCAGATTATTCCACAAACTTGGGAAACCATTACAATTCCGGAAGCATTTAAACAAGTTGGAGTGACGTTATGTTTAAATTTTGAAAACATACTTGAATCAGCAAGTGACGAAGCGAAGGAAAAGTTCGAAATGCAGGGCTGGATGCTTGGTGAAAAGGCACGTGAGGAGAAAGTACTCAAATCCTTCCTTCTCCAGATATTTGGAAAACACCTGAAAAATCAATCAGGAGGACAGCAAGTAGAGTTTACAAACTTTAAGCGTTATTTTGAAGACGGTAACTCTTGTTATGGGACGGCTGAGTACGGGGAAAATTATGTTTTCATAAGCTATGGAACTTCATAATTAATTACCTATAGTTAACTATTTTTATATACCTGGCAGTGCAACTTGTATATATTTAATTATTGTACTAAATCACAATTATGTGCAGTGGTTTTATAGTAAATCATGTTTATTTTAACTTTGTTTAGGTTCATAACTTTGAAATGTAAATAAATAACGGCGAAATTAAGATAAAATTAGTTCAATTTGGTACAATTCTTTAATAACCACAGACCTATGTAATTGCCTGTTGTACGTACTTTATCATTTAGGTTGTTAATTTAAATGTTCTATCCAATTATCTAGGGTACGACCCTCAAAAATCTACGAAATTTCGAAAATATAATTTTCTAGTCATGAAACGACGCCCGGAACAGAACTACGGTCAAATAAGTCAATACTAGATAAGCGGAGAAGGTTCTGAGTTGGATACTCACATGCCCAAGATTTATTGGTACAAAGATTCTATAATTGTAGAAATACGTATTTCAAAATATTGGAGAATTACATACAAACAATTTACTTTTGCTCTTTCTTTTCACGTTTCGTGTTCCCATTCATCGTTTACAAATATGCATAATTATTCTTGCAATGGTGAAAATCACACCTCCAGTTTATACGTGGCAACATATTTATCCAGATTTACATATTTTCAAGCAACCTCCGTCTTATTCTAACCACTACGGGAACTTTTCTTTGCGATTTTTTCGTCCCATGTAAAAATATCTTTGTAACCTTTATATACAAAGGTTTATGTCATGACTGTGAAATGAGCCTTCATTAATTTTGCCAACTGTATGTAAACTATGGCATTGGTGAGTGATAAAATGTCCAATTCAAATTTTGAGCGATGATTTTGACATGTATTTATTTAAGGTTGCTTGATAAGTAAGTAAGCAACTGAAATCTTCATGATCTAAAAAAACACTTTAATCATGGTCCCATACCAAATTCCATCAAAATTTACTGCAGCAATTTTATTTAATGGGTACATAAATGTATTTACTTTTATCTGTATTTACTTACATATTTATAGCGCCACTATTCCTGCAACTATTTGAATTACTTTGAAAGAGACTGATTTTTAATCTCAAATCCAATTACTTACTTTATGCTTCGAATGTAAATAAATATGTACTCATGCCAGAAAATTAAACTATGCGACCTTTCATTTTGGTAATCAACAAGCTTTTAATAAATATTATATCAATTCATGACAGGCAAACTATTTAAAATAGCAATAAATACTTAAGTTGTACCTTCAATCTTATTTTGACGACTTTTTAACTCCACGGACATTTTTCATTCTACAAGTCACATAACTCTAAAAAACGCTGCTTTTTTCCTAAAAATGTACGCTGGGCTTACGAGACCTCCCAGAAATGAGAGGGGCACATTTTCGCAGGAATGTAAAGTCCTCTCCATGTTTCAAAATTTGTTTCTCGACCACTACCGATTTTTCTACAAGTTGCCCATGGAATGGAGCCCCCCAACTGGTCAGCTTGTCCTCGTCAAACGTCGCTACTCCTATTTTTTTGACCGCCTCCCACTTTTGTTTGGATTTCTAATTATCTTCTGCGGACTCTTGGGGGCACGTGGGTTGACATATTACAACTCGTTCCTTGCACCCTCTCCTTTAACGTCAAACTTCTTTTTCAAGTTGCAAATTCAAATCTGTCTGGCATCCGTGGTCCTTGGCCTCACCCTTTTCGGGGGACATACCTTCATTTGCATAAAATACGTGCATGATCTTCACTATGGTTTGAACCACTTGCTCAAGCTGTACTATGCAATGGAGCATCAACAGTACAGAAGCTGGGTTCTGCCAGCTCGAAATAATTGGGTTCGGTAATAAAATCATATCAAATTGTACTATGTAAAAAAGTGGAAATCTGAATCTATGAGTGTACTCACGACAACGTCTTATTTAACATTGAAACTCATTTGGAAAAGTTTGCGGCGCTCAAAAAATGTGTTTTGAGGGGATTCGTAAAATACGACTGCACAAATCTTTCAAATATACTGACGTCCAAAACATCTAACAAGGAAACATACCGAGGTGTCCAACGAGTTAAGGGTCGACACCTATACCAAAATGACCACAATCCATGACTTATTAAAAAAACTGAAGGAATTCCCGTGTAAAATTCACTTTTCGTCAAGTTGTGACGATATTTGTGACGAGCGCATGACCATCGGGTTGCCAGCGGGAGAGGTCGGCCGCTGAACGATCAGGTCGAACACAAAGAAGCGTCGTCGTCTTCACGTCGTCTTCAGAGATTTCAAATTCTATCAAATTTTGAAAACCACTTGAAATTTGGAAAACCACTTGAAATTTTGAAAAAAATTGAAATTTCTACAAAATTTCCAAAATTTCTTCAAAATTTCAAGATGTTTTCAAAATTTGAAAGAATTTGAAATCTCTGAAGACGACGTGAAGACGACGACGCTTCTTTGTGTTCGACCTGATCGTTCAGCGGCCGACCTCTCCCGCTGGCAACCCGATGGTCATGCGCTCGTCACAAATATCGTCACAACTTGCCGAAAAGTGAATTTTACACGGGAATTCCTTCAGTTTGTTTAATAAGTCATGTATTGTGGTCATTTTGGTATAGGTGTCGACCCTTAACTCGTTGGACACCTCGGTATGTTCCCTTGTAAGTATTTTGCGTAATTTCTTTCGCTTTCGTGAGGATGAGCGTACGATCTAATCTTGAGAAATAAATATGCTCCCATGGTTCTCCAGCAAAATTTTTGCGAAATCTCACAAATTTTGCAAAACTTCTCAAGTTACATATATTTCTATCTTCAATTTGCTATATCTGCGAGATATGCAATGGCTGACGTGAGTACACTCTATATTAAATTCATAGAAGCGAATCCCCACTTTTGCCTTGATTCAAATCTAAAATAAAATCATATTTTCCGCCCTTCCTTAGTCTATTTCATGGATTTTCTGTCAAGCGCGTCCGTTTAAATGTGATTTGCCTCATCCTCAAGTCCGGAATGCTGCTGGCACACTACGGTGTGCCGTTTATCCTCCTTTTAGCCCTGCATTTAGAGCTGGATCCTGTAATCCACACTTTGACGCATATCAACCGATTCGTACCTTTTATGATGATCTTGATGAAAATTTTTAGAAGAAAATACATCGTAAATGTGGTAATTTATCTGGGACGCTATATTGGAAGTTGGATGGCTTTACTGGAAATTTTCAGACTTTTGACTCACGGCTGCTGTATCATGATATTCGGGGGAAGAGTTATGGTCGCTATTGTTCGCTTGATAAGAAATGATTTGGTGGCGCGTCATCAAAATCGTACTCTCGAGAGGTACAACCAGGTAAATGGAATATTCGTAATTTCGCTAATTCATTAGCATTTCGGGCGTTTTACATGGGTAAATAGGTAGAACACAAAGAAGACTTCATCCGAGTTAGATAACTCGGTTGAGCAAATTGACTTTATTGATTTATCTATTTAAATTTTAGATAACCGTCTAGGTTTCATTAATTTTCGACCCGGTAAAACCCCAACCGGATTACCCTGCCTTTTTTATTTAAATGTTTCCATGTAAAGTTAAATTCAATAAACTTAGTAGAATTTATTTCAACGTGCCTCACTTTCATATGGATATTTCTTGAATTTTGGCATTCTAACGAAGAATGCGATTTCAAAAAGAAATCACACAGGTTTTAACTAATTGTACAGTGCAAATATTTACTATCTGAACCCCCAGATATGTACATACGCCATAACATACATAACTGACTGAATATACTCTGAATAGGGGGCCCAAATGAGAAATATGGAGAAATAGGAGAAATATGTTTTACACGGAAAATCGTTGCAGGGCTCAATCAATTGAAAATCAGAGCTCTCGAACAGAACAAACGTGGTTATGTAGAGATTTAAATTCCATTGCTTTTTTTTAGATGAATTTTCTAAACTTCATGTAATTATGCTCATGAATATGTGTGCTAAATATTTTCAGTTGCGTCTCATCCTCGAGATAGTTAGACATCCACAAAGTGAAGGGGCCTTCTTTGCCTTGGCGGCTTTAACAGCGCTGTGTATCTTGTTGAACTATTCGGTCGTCGTGTCATTTCAGCACGACAGCTCGTGGATCGTGTCCCTCGTTCTTTTTTATGTAATTATTTGCTTGCAAGCCGGGATGTTCATGATTCTCACGTTGGGGGCACAGTTGTCGGAGGAGTCGACAATTTTGATGAGGAAATTGAAAATTATCATGTCTCGCGTGAGATCGGGTGGCTTCAAGAGGAAATTATTTCTGAGACAGTTGACTGCATCTCCGGTCATCAAATTACCATTGGCGATGGGTGACTATACCTTGCAGCATATGGATTACACGTTGGTCACTTTGGTAGCAAAAATCGTTCTGGACAACACGATCAATGTGATATTAGCAATGTAAATGGGGTAAAAATGCATAATCCTTGGTGATCTTTAAACTAGGGCACCTAATATTATCACAAATATTAGCAGATGTGTATACACAAAAAATTTGTAAGAATGTCACAATTTATTAAAGCTACTGAAGATTGTGAATAAATGTATTTAAAGAAAAAATGATTGCTGGACTGCTAAAAGGAATTAAGTTATAACTTAACTCCGGAGCAATTTCTTACCCACAGAAGACAATTTGTTACTACAGTGTTACCACGCGGTAGAATTGCATAGTATCTCCGCCGGTAATAATATTGTCAAAAAATTATTGAGAGTGTAGGTTAAATAAGCTGTTAAATAAGTACAATTATTATATTTCACACTAAAATCCATAGCTTGCTCTAGATCAAAAAGGTTTATAAATATAATATGCTTATAAAATAATTACGAAATTGGAATTTGCATATTTATTTATTACTAAATAATTTCGAGACTGGTATAATTTATACAGAATTCTAACTTGCATGCGTGTACATTTTAAGCAATAAATTAAATATGTATGCTAACTTCTGTTAGAGTTTATCATAATTTGGGAAATATTGCCATAAAGTAGTCCTTAAGATGTCCATTGTCCATAAAAGTCAGCCTTAAGCGCACCACCCCCACACGCCGTCATGTGAGTTGCACACGTGGCTGCAGCAGCATTCCCGTTGACCAGGACCTCCGCAGGGGCAACCTCCCCCAGAGCAGGGTCCACACCCCTCTCCAGTTATGCGACATGGTCCACGTCCCCCGACACCCTTAAAATATTATGGAAATCATAATTTTTTGAATTTCAATTATTTTCTGTTTTCACATTTTCATGTAGCTATGTACTTACTTGGACAAAAATTTCAAGAGTGTCGTAAGTACTGTTATCGACCGGGGTAGTGACCGCAAGCCCGAACAGGGCGACAAGTACCAATACTGTGATCATTTTGGCGTTCATGGTTGAAATGTGGGTTTTATGAAAGTTTTGAGACCTTTAATGGATTCTTCTTCTTTTTGGACGAGGTTTGAAGTTGTGATGAACATTTTGGTGCAGAATCTCCATTTTATACCCGAATGTTCGCGTGGATATGTAAATGAATTGACCTTTGCCATTCATTATGGTCAAGAACATATGAAAAGCATGATTATATTTAGTATAGGTACAATGGAATCAAAACTTGTACAGTTTTTCCAGAATTTAAATATTTACCAAGTTCAAAATTACACAGAATGTCGTACTTGAACTTGACAATACATAATTCATTTCTGAGATTAATCTCACAGAATTGTTTTTCAGAAAGGTAATCTTTCCAAGTTTGCAAATCACAGGTTAACGAATTTGCCAATAAACAATTCTTATAAATAGTTTACATATTGTCAACATCATACATAGTTTAATTGTATTTATTTGAGTTTCAGGAACCAGGTACATAATTATTTTCAAGTGAGCTTATCAATTATTGTATTAACTCGCCCATTATTAGAATGCATCTCGGGTATCGTATACTTATGTACACAAATATTTACATACACATATGAGCAATTGTAATAATACATAAATATGTAATACGCATCTATTCCAGCATCATGTGCCGGTCATTGTCACATTGTAAACATGAAAAATATATGTGTTTGTCTATTTACTACTTTCCACATTTCTGAGAAATTATTCTGCCATATTTTTAACAAATTGACACTCTTGTAAATAATTGTCATCAGGTTCTTGCGAATGGTGGAAAAATAACGCATACATGCATACAAACATACATACATAGGTACGTAGTATTAAAATTTGGGGATATATAAACCAACCAAATTCGCACATTCATCAGCATAAACAACTCAAAACTTGAATCAAACTACAAAGTTTTCCAAAATAAGTTTCTAATTCACGAAATTTTCTACACACATTCATCATGAAATTTACACTTGCCATTATTGCCGTTTTCACCATTGCTGCGCTTTCCTACGCCACCCCAGTGGAAGAAGGGTCACAAACTGGATACGACGCCATGAAAATCCTTGTACCGGTAATCACTCAGATTTACTGGATAGTGCGAAATTATTCTAAACTGAATTTCTTCTAGGAACCCAAGGGTCGTGGACCATGTCGCATTACTGGAGAGGGGTGTGGACCCTGTTCTGGGGGAAGTTGTCCCTGCGGAGGTCCTGGTCAACGGGAATGCTGCTGCAGTCACGTGTGCAACTCACATGACGGTGTGTGGGGGTGGTGTACATAAATAATTATCATGCCCTCAGAACAATTTTATCCTCCAATCCCCCCTTATTTAAATTTTTCTTAATTCTACTTTAAAATAATTTATGGAAAGGTTATACTAAAAATTCAAATAATAAAAATGTTAAATTTTATCATTATATGTACTTGTCTTCATTCATACTTCCGTCTGCAAATAATTCATAACAATTTTTTGAGTTTATTAAATTAACAGTACACTGTTAGAAATCCAGTATTAAAATAATACCAAGCAGTATTCGTAAGTATATGACTCAACCAAAGTGGTATTGATAAGTAATACCGTGTAGTAACAGCTCGGTATTAGAGTTTTACCATATCGGTAGTAAATTTTTAGGGACCGGTATACATAATTATTTTAATTGGTGGTAACTTTAATACCGAGAAATCAATATCTACATACCTATGTGACTATACTAGATTTCTAACGGTGCAAAATTAGCCATTAAATAATGAATTTGCAGATTTCACAATATGTATCGTCATTAATGCTCATTTGCCTGACTCATTCTCAAATTTAAAAATAATCCCAGGGACGATAAGGTATCTCGCTAAGCACCGATTTACATATCAGATATTTATCTATGAATACAACATACAGATATTCGTGGATAAATGTTTTTGGATATACAGCGACGATATGTATTTATGTAAACTGTTCTGTTTGAATATCAACGATTAATGCAATTAATCAATCTCGGACAGAATAATGTTTACTTGCTACCTGGCCGTGAAATTCCAATAAAAATCATTTTAACCGTTAATAAATTCGATTTGTTCCCCTAAAAATGGCAAATTTGCTTGATGTAACCACTGATTCAATCCCAGATTCAGGTATGTCGTTAAGATTTCATTAACAAAATTGTGCGTGCTTATTTTTCTAAGTATTTACTTAAATATTCCAGGATCTGACGTGGTCCAGTTAAAAGATGTTGTGGAATTCATGACGGATCCGTATTTTATTGCAAATTGGAAATTGTTTTACAATTCGTTGGAGTCGCCGCATCCGAATTTTCTACAATTGGAAAAATGGTTTGCTGCTGGGTTTAAAACATTTCATGAAATACTCATGGAGATTTTGGGTCATTGGGTAATCGCAAATTGGGGTGACGCATCAATAGCCAAGCTACTTGAGATTTTGAGAAAGGATCATTTTTGGAAAGTTGTAGGTAATTATGTAAATAAGCCTAATATTTCTTAAAATACATACATATGTACACTGGTAAATGTTTAACATATCGTTTGCTATAATATTTTCTAGAAATTTTGGAACAACAATTTAGTCCAACTGCAACAATTATCGTGACAAAGAGCAAGTTAAGTTTCCAGATTTCATTGCAAAATGACGACTCTGATTAATGTGTAAAAATGTGTACCAAATTTTTTTTTACTCTGGATTTCTAAAGCTGTGCATGTGCTTATCTACTACAAAATTTATGTACAAGTTTAAACTATTTTGTGGTAAATGCTGCAATTTTTGCACGGTGATGATTTGTTAACAATTTTGATACCACTTCCTGATTCGCCAAAATTATGCACGTTAAAATATTAATCAGCCCCGATTTCATGATATTTCGTGACCATAAATCCTTAATTAAATTCCAATAAAACCAACCACTTTTCCCATCCTCTTTTGTATGTATCACCGTATTTTATTTTATTTTTGTGACATTTTATGCTGTCATGCTTGCAAAAAACAGGGTGGAAAATAGTAAAAGTAAAAACAGAAAGATTTTGAAATCATAACGCTAATCATTTATGCATCTCTTCCTCTTCATTCCTCACTGATCGTTTTGTCACTCGAACCTCCAGTTTGTTGCCCTTGTTGTTCCTTCACCCCTTGAGATGTCCCCTCGACGGATGATATCTTTTCCTGCGGCTGCTTGTGGTACGGTTGGTAGTAGAAATCGGGAACTTGCGAGGACGCTGCTGCCACGACAGGGTTGAAATAGTGGGGATAGTATGCCTGCTGGGCGATGGATTGGTAGTTTCCGTACCCTGTTTTTTTTTAAAAATAATTTGTTACAAAAAAAGTCAAATTTATTTTCAAAAAATTGCAAAATAAGGTTTTGCGAATTTTTGTGCCAATTGTGAAATTTTATGGACTACTTTGAATAGAAAACTTACCACTGGGGACATTGTACGGATAACCAACTCCCACACCCCCCACGCCCACTTGGACAGGAATTGGCACAATGGGCTGCTGCTGTTGCACCTGCTGCGTAAAATTTGGTGGTCTGACCCGATTCGTGTAATGGACCCCGTTACCCGGCTGACTTCTAGTTTCCGGTTGGACCACGCCCACACCCACACCGACCCCCTGCCCTTGCACCACGGTTGGTTGGACCACACCCGGCTGAATGACCCCTGGCTGAACGACACCCACACCCGGCTGCTGCTGCTGCACCACTCCGACCACCACGCCACCCCCCACAACGTACGGTTGCTGTTGCTGTTGCTGCTGTTGGACGACGCGATCTCCCACAACCTCCGTCACTCCGGGGTCGACGTAGTAATAACACACGACCGGAGAAGGGGGCACGGCGGCTTGAGGGAAGTAATATTGCTGTGGCTGCTGCTGCTGTTGTTGTTGCACTTGAACTTGAACGGGCGTCGTGCGTCCCGGTACTTGGACGTAGACGAACGGTGGGTACTGGAATTGTTGCGTGGGGACGACTTGACCACCCTGGTACGGATAATAATTGTGGTACTGGTACCGCCTAAATAATGCGAAAATTAGCAGATTATTACCAAATTAACCATCCATACGAACCAATGAAACCAGTGGCGGCGGAAGTTAGGGGACATATGTGGACATTAGCATTGTGAGATTGGAGGAGGAGGGCTTATTAAGATGGGGGAGATAAGATTTTTCTGAATTTCTGGGGAAAAAATGTCCCCCTGTCCCCCAGCTTCCACTACCACCGTAACCAGCTCACCTCTGTTGCTGCTGTACTTGCTGATCCGTCACCACCGAATTTCCCACGACTTGTTGCACCATGCCTTGCTGCTGCTGGTCCGAAACCCCACTGCCGCCCACCTTGTCCACCGCTTTGCCCTGCTGACCCCCCGCGTACTGCTGGTGGTCATAATACCGCACTTGATACACAAGTGGGGTGCCAATCACGTTTTGGAAAACTTGTGGCTCGGGCTCCTTAACTTGCTTCGTCCGCCCCCTGAAAAGCGAGCCTAACGTGCGCGTCGACCTGGACGAGGGCGTCGTCGCTGCCGCCGCGACGAGCAGGATTGCCCAAATGCAAAATAATTGACCCGACATTTCCCTTGGCGAGATCAGGGTCAACTTTCTTTCTTAGCTATCTCTTCCTGCGTGAGGCGAAACCAAGACTGTCCGTGGCGTTGCCAGGGAAGTAGGAAGTTAGCCACATAATAATGACGAGGGGTATGCACAGGGAGGAATTTGGTGGTTTAAAAAAGTGCGTGTGGACAAAGTCAAAGTCAGGGGTGGCTACAATGGAAGAAGAAGAAAGGGATGCGTGCAGGCAGTCGCCGCGGAAGAGGGGGGACAGAGGGACAAAGTCCCCACAAAGTCCCCATCTGCCCATGTTATATAAACCCCTCCCGCCCCTATCCAGCAATGTTAACGTCCCCACAGCTTCCGCGGCCTCTGCTTGCAGTGTGCATAGTCTGTCTGCTGGACAGGTCTCCTCTTGCATAATAATAAGATTCTTCTCCTTCGAAAGTGCATATTTGGACTGCGAGATGAGAGAAAGAGACCATGTGCAGTGTACCTGTGTACATACATGCGTAGGTGAGGATGTGGAAAGATGCAACCACGGACCGGATTGGAATCTTGGATGATAAAAAAATAAGACAAAAAGTGGTTTGCTGGATTATTCTGCTGCGTGTGTGATGCACTTTTCATTTTTCGTGAGGCTTGGACTTGTCTCTAAATATTATTTTATGCAGGAGTAAAAGAGAGAGAGAGACAGTCATGTTGGGAGGAGGAATATGCATGTAATATTTTTTAGGATGAGGAGAAGGTAGGTATCAAGGATTGGTGTCTCTTTAGTGTGGAGAATGTAAGATAAGTTGCGTTGTTATAATCCGTTTTGTTTTGTATTTATTAGAATAGAATGCAGGAAGCAAGTATGTATGGGAGATGATGAGATGCGGTTTAAAGCCCACTTTCAATTTTTACCCAGGTAATGACTATAGCATGTCCATATGTATAGCTGGATGGATATATGAAGGACTGGATTTTTAAAGTAACATCACCAGCACAATGAGCATTTGCATTCTTTTATATGAGTACACCTGCCTCAGAACTTTTACTTTTCTCGAAGCAGTGTTTACTTACTAAATAGCTCTGATTGAAGGTAATAAATTCGATGATTTACAATGATGTACATATACATGTAAATACATAGATACATACATATACACCAATATGCTAGATATTAGATGTGGTGGGAATAATTGCAAGAATTATTTACATTTGACTAATATATATATATTCACATACATTTGTGCGTAGGTGTATGCTTGTGTATTTACATAATTTGCAAAAAGTGGACTGGTTCCATTTACTTATTCAAATTTTATGAATCGATCAAATGAAAATATATATGTAAGCACATATGGAATTACGGGTTCTACGTAATAGCTTAAATTTGCTTTTTTCCACCTTTTGTGTAACGTGAGTTTCCAAAGAATCACATTTCTCAACTATTCATATTTTACAATTACGCATTGTCGTATTGCAAATTTAATAACAATTAAGTATACTAGACACTCATGGATGTCAATTTATCACTTGTAGTCAATTATGTATGTACCTTGAATGTATATAAATGTATGCACAAATATGTAAATATGCACTTAATGTACAGCCCCACATAAATATATACTTAGTTTGTTAATGAAACTTCTCGGGTTATTTGGGTCGTTAAATCTAACAGAACGACACAGACTGCATTACTTGATAGTGACCAGTCTGATAATTATCCAAATCAATTTTTGATTAAGATTACTCCCCAACACGGTGACGATGCGAGGATGACAGGGAAATGGAACCACTTTTATATTTATTTATATGTACATGCATACATTTACAAGTATTTATACACTTCAATAATTTACTCGGAGTTTTGTAATAATTTACATAAACAGATTTCACAATGATTTATTTCTGCTAGGGAAAACCAGGCTCAAGTAGATTTTGCTCTGATTTAGGGGCAATCCAGGGTATTCCGACCCAGGGTTTTATTGGGTTGGGTTTTTTGGGTTTTAATGGGTTTTAATGGGTTGTTAACGAATAAAACCCATTGGGTTTTACCATGTTAAATGGGTTTTATTTGGGTTTTAATGGGTTTTATTCGGGTTTTAATGGGTTTTAACTGTGTTTCAGCTTAAAACTATATTCTAAAAGCTGAAAACAGCTGTCGTACGTTAGACGAAGTTGTTTCATGGCAGCTAAGCAGTTTATTTGATTAATACTGTAAGTTTTAAAAACCAGGAATAAATCAGCGAGTGCCATTACAGGTTTCAAGTGACAAAAATATTTAAAAATAATAATTTCGGAACGAGGTATGTTTAACTGAGCATACATAATTTAATTACATTTAATTTACATTTTGCTGTCATAATTAATACTTTTTTCCCGAATACTTCCTCTCATCTCAGCGAATAAATTAAACAAAATACTGTAGTATTTTTTAATTTATAAAGTTTTTTTAAATGTTTCAAGGCGATCTTAATTATCACCTCTGGAAAAATCGAGTACTTATGGACAGCGAAGTACTTTATTATGAGCAAAAGAAGTGTGTCTGTAAAAAGCACTTATTATATTCTCGATCATAATACATACGTACTTTCATTGTTCATAAGTACTCGATTTTTTCCAGAATTGATAATACACGTTAAGATCGCATTGAAATATTAAATTTTAAAAACTTTTAAGCAACTTGGATTTCATTATGATGAGAGGAAGTATGCGAGAAAAAGGTAATATATATTCTCATAAAGTATTAAACTATGATCAGTTAAACAGGACTATTTCGAAACGGATACAAATTCTAACATGGACAAGTAGGATTTGCATATTAATTGAAATTGGATTGCAATAGTAGTGAAAATTGTTGTTCAATGTATTACTTATGTAAAACCTAATAAAACCCAATAAAACCCATAAAACCCATTAAAACCCAAAAAACCCATTAAAACCCATTAAAACCCCTGGGTTTTTCCGAACCCTGGGGCAATCCCACTTTTACCCTATTTCTTATAAAGCACATTTAGTTACTTTTTGACAATTACACTTTTGTCATTGCTTCAGTCTGAGCCATGAAGTCCAATTGGCTACCATTTCTGCTTGTAATTGCGGTCACTACATTTTCCAAGGTATCATATACAGATACTTACAGACTGTTAGAAATCTGGTATAGTCATAAATACATGTATTGATTTATCGGTATTAAAGTTGCTACCGCTTGGTATTAAAATGGTACCGGTCCGTAAAAGTTTGTCACCGATATGGTAAAACTTCAATGCCGAGTTTCGTATTACTTCACGGTCCTAAATACTTATCAATACCATTTTGGTAGAATCATATATGTATAAATATGATTTGGAATTATTTTAATACTGGATTTATAAGAGTGGTTATATGTACATATTAATTAACTAATTATTGGTAAGAATTTCTTGGAGAAACTATTTGATAAACTTAGTAATTTGAATAAAATCATATCTTCAGACAGAAGAAATTTGTCCCGACGGATCAAATTTTTGGCCTCATCCAGACTGCCAATTTTATTATGAGTGCAACTTCGGTGACGCTCCGACACTAAAACAATGTCCGGCTGACTTGTATTGGGACGTTGCCCGAAGTTTCTGCAACCTCCAGGAAAATGTCCCAGAATGCGTTGGAGGGACAAGGTTTGTGTCGTATCACATACTAACAATGCACATGTCAGACATGTTTCGCACGGATCTTCTTGAAACCAGCACTAAAATCTCAAGGAACTAAACACAAACAATAGTTAGTATGAAACTCAAGCACTTCTGCAGAATTCAAAAAGTTATGAAGGTTTTAATTTTGCGAAAACACGCATTTTCACCATGCGAAACTATACAGAGTTCACCTCTCCGCTGTCCCATTTTCTCCTGCGCTTCTCTTCACTAGGTCATACGTTTTCACTCAAAATTTAATTGATTAATTTCCTAACCAAGTTCTCATCCGATTTTTTATATTTGGCTTTTACATAATTTTTTAACACTTTTGAATATTTAAAATAAAAATTAAGTTGTTATCAGTGGAATTTTTTAAGGATTTGTTCAGAATAGGATCGATTTTCATTTAAATTTCTTTCACATTGCATATTTATATTTGTAAACTTATTTGACAATAAAAAACCAAACATACCAAGTTCCCTGTGTGATAAGGGCCAGCATCACACAAAGTCATAAGATTTTTGTCTTTATATCTCTTTAAATCTTGTCTTGTCTTGACTCTTGTCTTTAAATCTTTAAAGACCCTCAACGCGAAAGAAATAAAAATCCATTATTCTGACTGAACCAATTTTGAAAAATAATTTCCACTTCTAAGAAGTTAGTTGAATCCATTTTAAACATTAATAAGTGTTAAAAAATTATGTAAAAGCCAAATATAAAAAATCGGATGAGAACTTGGTTAGGAAATTAATTAATCAAATTTTGAGTGCAAACCTATGACCTAGTGAAGAGAAGCGCAGGAGAAAATCGGACAGCAGAGAGGTGAACTCTGTATAGTTTCGCATGGTGAAAATACGCGTTTTCGCAAACTTAAAACCTTCATAACTTTTTGAATTCTGCAGAAGTGCTCAAATTTCATACTAACTATTGTTTGTGTTTAGTTCCTTGAGATTTTAGTGCTAGTATCATGAAGATCCGTGCGAAACATGTCTGACATGTGCATTGTAAGTACTTACAATCTTATCAGAATTAGCTGTCTAACTATAAAATAATGGCATCAGACCACCTGTCACCACAACCACGACGACCCCACCAACCACCACGACAGGACCAACTACCACTCGCCCGACAACGACCACTCCCACGACGACGACCACACCTCGTCCCACCACAACGCTGCCTACCCGACCAACTCCTCCGCCCTGCGAATCCCGCTGTTGTAAGAAAAACATTACACATCTGTACATACTTCCTAAAATACATTTGATTTGTACATATTTATATGAAAATTGGAAGGAATCGCCTATCATAGACGATTTTTTATGGCATAGACAATCTATGCCATAAAAAATCCAACTTTGCATCACTGGTTACCTTGCATAAGTATGAGTAAGTAAACCCCTAAACATTTTCCAAATTGTACAGGTCTTTTCATGTATGATCCAGTCTTGATACCTCCGGGTCCCTTAAACGTTACGTTCAACCCAATCCTAAAACTTGACGAATGGAGCAGAATTGAGTAATTTTAATTCGCACATAAATATATTTATCACACATTCAAAAAAATAAAAATGTGTTTATGGAAACTTAGGGAACTCTTGGTGGTGGGAATGTCATCCATCGCTCGGACTTGTCTCCTTAATGCAATTACTTTAACAATGAGCTTCCATACTGTAGTTCCGTCAATCCTTTTAACGACTGAGTTTGACATTTCCGGCTACGTTGACCTACGCCCACTAGAATTTCTCCCGTCTGGAAACTTCACTGGGGAAGGATTCGCAGAAATTTCCCTGTCCAACTTGGAGTACACAATTAATGGAACTTTGTTCATTAATATAATCGGCAACAGGCCCATGATTCGGACCTTATCGGTTGCAAGTGTATCATTCACAAATTTCTATATCGATTTAGGTCCAGACTTTTTGATAGCGGGAACTCCTGTCGACTGGGTAGAATTGAGTGCTAACTCGAAAACTAGATTTGATCAAGAATGGCCAATGCATCGGGTGCAATTCACAGAAAAGATTAGAACTGGTATCAACGAGTTACTTGTTCCATACACGTTGGATGACCTGATAGAATTCTTATTTGGCGAAAACTGTCCGTTTTGCTCAAATACTCCTTAAATCCCTTGAATATTATCTATCCTTGCAAACTTCCAATGTTTAATTAAATTCGGAAGAGAATTGTATTTATATTTAATACTTAATAATTGTACCATGCTGTAATTTAACAAATTAAATTAGCAGTACGCTGTACGAATTGTGTAGCTATTTGTTGTGCTCAAACATAAAGAACCAGGTCAATATTAGCATATATCTACATTGTTAAAAATCCGATAGAGTCACAGACATAAATATGTATGTAATACATATACTTTGTACTGGTATTGATTTGGTAATAAATTCCTACCGGATTGGTAGTAGTTTTTTTCTGAGTGCTAAATTTGTCACTATCACAACATTACGAAACTGTACTGTCCGTTGTTAGCAGTGCCGGTAGGTATACATATTATTATGTATGTATGCAAGTACTCTCGGGTTATTTGGGTCGTTAAATCACAGAACGACTTCATTACTTGATAGTAACCAGCCTGATAATTATCAAAATCAATTTCTGATTAAAATTGGTTCACAGCACGGTACACGATGCACGGATAACAGTGAAATGGAACCAGTTGTATATTTATATGTGCGTATGCATAATCAAGAATACTTCTTTAATAATTTACACCCAATTACATAAACAGATTTCACAATTGATTTATTTCTGCTAGGGAAACCCAGGTTTAAGTAGATTTTGATCTGATTTTGGGACAATCCCACTTTTATCTTATTTCTTACATATGTTCATAAAGCACATTTCGTTACGTTCTGACAGTTACACTTTTGCCATTGCTTGACTAGGAGTCATAATGTCCAATTGGGTACCATTTCTGCTTGTACTTGCTGTCACTCCATTTTCTAAGGTATCATAACAGATATTTATTCAATGCTAGAAATCTGGTACATATAGTCACGCAGATACTGATTTTTCGTTACTACAGCTTGGTATTAAATTATAATAATCCGTAAAAATTTGCTACCCACATACATATGTAGAAAAAATTTAATACCCAGCTATTACACTAGTCGGAATTACTTCTCAATATCACTTTGCATTTATATGAATACCGGTTGGTGTTATCTTAATACTGGATTTCTAAGAGTGTGTGTATATATTAACCCAGTAATTCTCACTGGGGGTTGGAGAAAATAATACATAAGTCGTAATTTGAATAAAATTATACCTCAGGCGGAAGAAATTTGTCCTGATGGAGCAAATTTTTGGCCTCATCCAGACTGCCAATTCTATTACGATTGTAACTTCGGTGACGCTCCGATACTAAAACAATGTCCGGCTGATCTGTACTGGGACGTTGCCCGAAGTTTCTGCAACCTCCCGGAAAATGTCCCAGAATGCGTTGGAGGGACAAGGTTTGTGTCGTGACATATACATTCTTAAAATATTAGGTATGATTAACTGTCTAAAAATAAAATAATTCTACTAGGCCACCTGTCACCACCACCACGACGACCCCACCAACCACCACGACACGACCAACAACCACTCGCCCAACGACGACTACTCCCACGACAACGACCACACCTCGTCCTACCACATCCCGCACAACGTTGCCTCCCCGACCATCTCCTCCTCCATGCGAATCCCGCTGTTGTATGAAAAACTTACCCATTTCTAATTGCCTGCTAACATTAAATTGATTGTTAAATGAAATGGGAAGGTTTTTGAGTCGTATATGCCCTATAAAAACCATCATGAACTCATTCATGTATATTTATTCGTGCAGTCTAAATAAAGTTGTGTAAAATTTACTCAAGGGTGAGTAAAATAGAGGCGCTCAACGTCGTGCAAAATTTTGCAAAACGTTGGATACGTTACCCAATTGTTGTGCCATCCTCTATTTTACTCAACTTTGCATAAGTTGTACACAGTTTTATTTGTAGTGTGCGTGCATATTGTATAAAATCCCAAGTATTTGTCAAATTGTACAGGTCTTTTCCCATCTGATCCAGTCTGGATTCCTCCAGGTCCCTTAAACGTTACGTTCAATCCCATCCTAAAATTGGACGAATGGAGTACAATTGGGTAATTTTGATTCATACATAAACACGTACATATATAACACATTTAAAAAACTAAAATGTGTATAAAAACACAGCGAACTCTACCTGGCGGGATGGTCTGCCAATGTTCGGACTTGTTCCATTAACCTAGTTGATTACAAAATAAGCGTTCATGCCATAGTTCCTGCAGTACAGTTAACGACTGAGTTTGACATTTCCGGCTACGTTGACCTACGCCCACTGGAATTTCTCCCGTCTGGAAACTTCACTGGGGCAGGATTTGCAGAAATTTCCGTAACCAACTTGGAATACACAATTAATGGGACTTTTTTCGTTAATATAATCGGAAATAGGGTCAGCATGCGGATCTTATCGGTTGAAAGTGTGTCATTCGACAATTTCTATATAGATTTGGGGCCAGAATTTGTGATAGCAGGAACTCCTGCCGATTGGGTAGAATTGAATGCAAATTCGAAAACTAGATTTGATCAAGAATGGCCAATACATCGGGTACAATTCACAGAAAAGATTAGAATTGGTATCAACGAGTTATTGTATCCATACACGTTGGAAGAGATGATAGAATTCATGTTTGGCGATTACTGCCCGTTTTGCTCAAATACTTGATTTCCTTCAATACTATACGCAACCTTCAAATTCTACATTAAACTTAAAAAACATTAGTGTTTTTATTTAACTACACTTAATTGTTGCATGATGTAATTTAATAAATTAACACAAATTAAATTAGCTGTAATGTGTGGCTTTTTTTGTGGCCATTTATTATTATTAAATATAAGGAATCTGTTCAATGTTAACACTTAATAATAATAATGATAATAAGTAATATGTAGTTGGTCTATTCTCAGCATTTGGTCAATGCATATACCCATTAGAAAATACCAGTCATATCAACATACCTATGTCAGTATCTGTATTTGCAAAGATACTTACATACGTTTATTTAGAGATCCCGAATTAAATTATTTATCACTATGCAGATTCGATAAGTTTAATATGTATCATTCTGTACTAAAGATATGTACATAACCTTTACCAATGTGACCCAAGTTGTCCTGGTAAGACGTACTCAATTACGCCGACTTGGTTGTAATTTGTCATATTTACATATACACATACCGGCATACATTTATTTACATCATACTGCGTACGAAATTTGTATAATGTTTATTTACATAGGCAAGCTACTCAATTTTGAGGTTACTGTTCAATCAAATGCATTCATGCAATATTTATCTCTATTTATTTGCACCTAACTATTCTTCTTCCCAGTTCAACAAATATATAAATCATAACCATCTCGTGATCAGTATATGATTGCATTCACACCAGTATTGCCAGCAAGGAAAATGTAGTTAACAACAATCTGCCGAATAAACTATGTATGTACAAGGTCGTATATGACAAAAAATTTGGCTCAATTGCCTCAACTAGTAAATATACCTTTACGCTTTAACATGACATGCATAAATACGGTCTGTGCAAAATATGTATGTATGTATGTATGAATATGTACATATGTACATACGTATATCACATGACATATCCCAGTGACTATGCAATTTGGGAAAGTATTTATGCCCACGAAACTACTCTCAAATCATACAGTAACGATTTCTCATTCACTCCGTTAACATAATCTGGAAATATTCGTCATATTTGCAAATTTCCAATAAAATGTTTTCCTGTCTCACATCCTGCCTTTGGTCGACGCTTCTCTATTACGCCATCCTTCCTGCCACTTTCCTGTTTGGGGCGCGGGTCATCGTCAGAAAGCTACGAGGCAAGGTTGACCCCACGAATGAGGTTGACATTAAGGGAAAAACGGTGATTGTGACGGGTGCCTCGGATGGGATTGGCAAAGCAACTGCGGAAGAGTTTGCCAACCGTGGAGCTAGAGTAATTTTAGCATGTCGAAATTTGCAAAAGGCTGAGAAGGTTGTTCAAGATATCCGATCGAGAACAAGGAATGGTGAATTGGTATGTGAACTCTTGTAAATGATTCAGTATTAAATCACAAAGCGGTATTTATATACATATATATGAGATGATTCTACTATAGTGGTACATATGTATTGACAAGTAATAACATGGAGTAATAGGTCAATATTAAGTTGCGATATCGGCAGCAAGTTTTTGCGAGCGGAATAAATTTAATACAGAGTGGTAGCAACTTTAATACCGAAAAATCAATACCTGCCTGACTATACCAGATGTCTAACAGTCCATGCAAATTTAATATTATAAGGGATGAGTCGCTTTATTTTGTGAATGATACACGGAAATCAGCTTAAAAAGATCATCAATGGCTTACTATACTCACGATATGAAAATCTTACTTACTTTGCCATCATATTTTTATTGATTTCAATTCCAGATAATAATGCATCTCGACTTATCATCACTTTCCTCTGTTCGAAAATTCGCGACTGAATTTATCGAAAAGTACCCCTCTTCCCTGTCCATCCTTGTCAACAATGCCGGAATTATTAATCCCGTCGGAGTACAAAAAACAACGGAAGACGGATTTGAAGAAACTTTTGCTGTAAATCACCTCGCTCATTTCCTTCTCACAAACCTCCTCCTTCCCGAATTAAAGAAAACTGGCGAAAGCAATCCTACCGAAGCGAGTCGCATAGTCATCGTTTCTTCCGGTGGACACAGTTGGGGGTCACTAAATTTTCACGATTTAATGTACCAAAAGACTCCTCTCAACGATTTTGAATTTATATCCAAACTTTACTGCAACTCAAAGTTGGCAAATAATCTGCACAATCTGGAACTCGCCAGGAGGTTGAGGTCAGAAAAGGCCAACGTCAATTGTTACGCGTTATGTCCTGGCTTCGTTGCCACAAACATTGGCAGAGAAAATGGAGAGAAGCATCCGATGCCATTTTGGGCAACACATATAATGTTTCCACTAATGAGAATTGTTATGGGGAAGGACGCAAGCGAGGTAACAAATATTTGCATACAATACATACATACATAAAATAGCCTCTGTTTCGTGCAATCAAAAATTCTGGGAACCTAAGTTGTTGAATATATTTAAATTTCCGACAATTTTTGATGCGATAATCATTCCAGGCACAGTGACGATATGCAAATTTCCATACTTGATCCATATTATTTTTACAGGGTGCCCAAACCACGGTGTATTGCTCCCTCACGAAATATTTGTCCCATCACAGTGGAGAAATGTACCGAAATTGCGAATTCTGGGATTATAGCAAGAGACCCAAATTGAGCGAGGAGGATGCAGCAGCCTTGTGGGAAAAGAGTGAACAATTAACTGGAAAATTTTAAACATTAAGTTCCTTGAAAATACAAGTTCTTTGAGTTACGATTTTATTTTTTTTCTCTAATAGTTGTCATTATCATCATATCATTACCTATGTATATTATATATTCTTTTTATTAACGAAGGCCCAATAACTAAACAACTAGATAAGTCTTTGCTTCAATTCTTTCGAGTTTTCATATAATACAGAGCATCGCTTTCTTATCTGATAAGGATTTTGACCTTAAATAACCCCGGAACGGTTTGTCGTAGTGTGTCAAAATTTTGAGCAGACGAGCGTGTTATCCTCAGATAGATGTGTGCAAAAATTCAATTCTCTACCTTAAAAAATACCTCCCCCACAGTTCCCAGAAGTTGAGATAGTCATTTTTACTCTTTCCAAACTCCGTCTAAAAAATTCGGTCTCCGCAGAAAAATTTGTGTTTTCAAGTATCCGACCCAAAATAAGTCCATTTGACTTATATTGGGGGATTGTATATGCATTTCACTATTCGAAATGGTTTTTATCCCCAATCTAGGTTCAAGGTCATTTGCATAATCTTGGGTTAACTTTGTCGTCTGGGAAGACGCTGCGCCACGATGAAAAATTACCTTATTTATTTTTTCCCCGTGCTATTTAGGAAAATCTTACTATAAAAGTGGTTTCGATACACGGTCCACATAATGCTTTGCAGATATCTTCACTTTTTGAGGGACTTTGATAAGTGGGAGGATACCAGGACCGGACATTGCACCCACAACCATAAAATGTTTGAAGAAGTTCTCCTCACTGAAAAGCACCAAATTTCTTGAATTTTTTTTCGGCATTTGTCGTGTACTAAGCTCTTCGAACCCAATTAGTAACTTGTAGGGAAAATAGTTCTTCGTCAATTGCCACCAATAACTCACTCCTATTCCTCAACAGAAAATTCAAATACAATTTTTTGCAAACACGGGAGATTTTTGCTGGAACAAGTTGAAATGACTGTCCCAATTTCTGAGGGCTGTGGGGGAGCCAATTTTGGAAGTAGAGAGTTGAATTTTTGCACACACCCATCTGAGAATAACATGCTCCTCTGTTCAAAATTTGGACCCGCTACGACAAACCGTTCCGGGGTTATTCAAGGTCAAAATCCTTATCAGATAAAAAAGCGATGCTCTGTAAATATTTATGTATTTACATACATATTTATGTATACTAATTAATAATAAGACATTTATATTGTGCATCAAATTCTTCAGACCGTCAGTATAAAATTATTTTAGGAAGTCTATAGCAGACTTTGAATAATTTTTCATTATCTTATTTACCCGTCATAAAGACGAGAGAAATAAACTTCTATAGGGCAATATGTAAATAACTGTTTTTCAAATTTATCACCTATTTAATCAAAGAATGGCAAAGTTACAAAGATGTGCTGGGAAGCGAGGTGTTTCAGTGACGTGAATACCCACAATGTTGAATGTATCTATTTACTAGTACATGGATAACTTCTTACACACCCCATTAAAATTAATTAACAATAATATTTCATCTCGTCACAAACCCATACCAATTTTCTTTACAGTAGCAAAAGTGAAATCGTATGATCCAATATCAATCTCATACAAATTGTCTTGGTCTCCTGGACACAATGAAAGAACGTGAATTCACCAATCGACGCGGGAAACTTGACACAAGGAACCGCATTTATCTCCATTTTAAAATGCCTCCACCCCCAATGTTCCCCAATCTCTGGACACTCCACCCTCTTCAGCCCCTCCACAAACTCCTTCCCCATCTCGGAAAACCTCCCCGATATTCCAACCCCATTAATAAACACGATTTCCACCCCACCCCCAAATCCCGCCATACCTAGGAGAACGATCACATTACCCCCTTCACTTAGCCCCATAATGCACATATAATTGAAACAAATGCAGAGAATCGTCACTGTCGAGAGGGTCAAAAACGTCCCTTGACTCTGAATCCCTTTAACGATAATCATCAAAATCCGCAACTGATGCAGTTCCCTAACCGCACGAAGTGTCTGGCTCGACATGCCCCTCGTAATCCGGTACAGCGTCGCGGTCCACATTCGCAATGCGAAAAGCATCACCTGCGCGACATACAGCATGACTCGCATTAATTCCATACCAACCACCCACATGGAAAAATACCTCGCTAGCAAGATAACCAATCGCAGTAATACCTGCCAAAGACAAATTCGCCAATATATCTGAAAACGGGGGCAACATGTAGCAAATAATATACCATGTGCCCGACTGGATCAAACTCAAAATAGAGAAAGACCGGAATAATCACCGTTTGCAGGGTGGACACAAAAATCAGCATTCCCGCCGTCAAGATGAGGCACATGACATCCACGATATATTTTCTAGAGGGACGACCTCCTCCTTTTATTCGCCCGTCCACCCTGTAGAACATCTTGATAAGCATGTTCAGCCCGGAAGTTAGGTCGTCCACGTAGTTTAGGAAGAGAAGATATGCCCAAAAGATGGCAAAAATTCCGATGGCGAGGGCAAACTGAAACAAAAGTCTAACACTGTACGTGATGTCTTGTGGGTCGTCCGCTATATTTTCCTGGATGCTGATGATAGCCACGAAGCAGCAGAATATCGCCAGAGTAAAGAGGATGAGGGGAACAAGATCCCAAAAATGTCCCTTTTTACGGTGAACGCGTAGTATCTGACATTTCAAGGGGTCCCATTCGATGGGAAGTTTGTAAGTGAAGATGTATCCGTCAGAGAATAGTTGTTGGTAGAGGGCAAGAACCTTCGCCTCCTGCCAGAAATAGTTCTTCATAGTTGAAATTATGCTTCTAGATAAAAGTAAGTGAAATAAAAATTGATGAAATAAATTTCTTCGGGTAGAAAGGAATAGTGAAAGCGGTCAACTTGACCAAGCAACGCAAAATATTCAAGTATTTATTGAGCACGTGTAATAAATTATTCATGCGTCTGGAAGAATAAATCAATCGTGCCGAGGTTATGTGCAAGTTAGAAAAAGATTTTTTATTAAATTATCAAACCGCTCTCCAAAAAAATCTAAGCAATAAATAATTAGGTGACTTAATCCAGTTTATTTTTCTTAGGTGAAGCAAATAATTTTCATGAAAATCAGAAAGAATACGTATTTAACTGTGCCATGTGTTGGCCTAGCTATTTTCAAGCAACTGTAACTATGTATGTAGGTAGATTAAAATAGATCTATTTATCTATGTAGGCGTTAACATCGCCCAAAAAATTACTTGGCGAGATAAGCATAAATGCTCACTTTACTATCTCTGATTATTTATTTGTGCCACGTTAAGACTAGAATTTTTTAGGATTTATTTTTCGCCTATAGTTTCCGTCTAGATATATGTATTTATTTATTTATGTATTTAAATATCTATAATCCTGGTCATGCTCAGGTTTAAAATTTACGGACCAAGATGTTTATTATGAGTTATATAAGGGATTAGACCGGATGGAGTTACCTGTACATAAATATATTAATTAATGCAATTTTATCCTTGAAAATAAGAAAACAAACTAAAAATAAGTTCACCTTTGCGATTGCGATGTCATTTTGAACTTGTTAATTTTACTTCTAAATCTAAATCTATACTACATATGTAGTAATGATACATACAGGGTGGTTCAAATGTCACGCAACAATGGAAAATTTTTCAATGGGAAAAATCCCTAAATCCCCAATAGTTACAAGATTTTGGATTAAGATTTTTTTTAATTATTATCAAAACTGATGGAAAACTGATGACGAAATTCTTAAAACATTGAATTTTAGAGACAAAATTTCGGTAACTAATGGAAATTTACAAATTTTTCCCATCGAAAAATTTTCCATTGTTGCGTGACATTTTAACCACCCTGTACAAGCGGTATGTATCAGTTATTTATTAACATATTTTACGCTTATCTACTTAAATATGTAGCCAGGTATTCAAGAAGATCAGCGCACCAAGTTCATAACATACATATGTACATATTTATCAAGCTTATAGTGCTTACATAATCATTGCCAAATTGCGTAAAAAATCAAAGTAAAAAAAATCGAATTCTTAATAGAAACATATTCATGTTATTTCATTAGAGAATTTAATCTTTAAGGTTCCCGAAGATTGTGTCTGTAGACGTATGTAAATATGTATGTTACTAAATATACCATCGTTCATTATGCTTCCCATAACTTCATATTCCTCCTAAATCTCCCCTTCCACCCCAATTTCTTAAAAATCTTCATCACATCCCTTCCAACTTTCAAAATCGTGTACACACCCAACCACACCGCATCCCTCAAACCAACCCTAACTTCCCATCCAAAAGCGCAACTCGCACCAACCATGGCACCCCCCAAAAGAACAAACACCGTCGCAATATTGCTCCCCATAGTGACCGCTTTCACGCCCCTTATTGACCTCACCTTTACCACCATGTCGCTATACTCCGACCTGAAATAGTACAATCTTCTCAACTCCCCCGCAATCCCGGATTCCTTCAATTGCCAAATCCTTATCAAAATCTCATTTCCCACAAATCCCTCAACATCCCAACCATTATATCTCGAAAAGAAGTCCTCTTCCCCCACAGAAATGAACGATCCTCCAATTTCCCGCGCATATCTCACCTTCCCCAACTCATTCTTAACCCTCCTAATGTCGTTCGACCAGCCGACATAAGCCACTCCTTTCTCTTCGCATTCATCCTGTATCAGGTTCCCCCAAGTGTAGTTATCCTTCCCCTCCAACAAATTCTTACAGCCCGGGAACATTTGAATTGTTCGTACAACCTTCGCGTATAAAAGTCATACTTGTCCCCACTCATTAGGCTTAGATTTAGGCCCCCACTTAATTAGCTGAAAGCTCCCACTTTTTTTGGCGGAACCTCCCACTAGCTGAAATCCTCACTATGTCGGTTTTTTTCGCCACCCAATTAGCTAGTGGTAGCTACTCATTTATCTGATTTCTCACTTAAAGTGATTAAGCCCAAAAACTACTATCTAAAGTTAATTTTATCACCAAAAGGTTACTCCTCTTCATTTACATAGACAACTCGCCTACCCTTGCCATTCACCATTCACCTTCTTCACCCTAGCCATACTAGTAACTTTGTCGATCCTATTTGTTTTCAAAACTAACTTCGATGTTCGAATTAAAATGGCTTGTTCTCAAGTTTTACTTTAGGATAAAGGAAGTGGCAGTCTTGATAGCATATCTGAAGATGAGAATATACCTCCCGCAAAGAAAATTGGTAAGATTAGTGATTGATCAAAAAAACGGAGTTTTGAGAGTAGAACTGAAGCTGAGATTTTTTTTTGAAACAAAGTGAAGATTGGGTGCACCAAGGAAAAAATACTACCCAACAAGGATTGATTCTCAGATACCACTGCCGCCATTCAAGAATATATTCTGCAAACCATAGAATTATTCTGCTGGCCAAATCCCCCGTGGTAGAACTTCAGAGTACCATGAAAGAACACGATCACATTGAGCAAAATAAGTCAAGGTGAATGCATGCCTCATTTAAAATTGTAATGTAGTTAATTTCGATATACTGTACTGAATTACGGAAAAAGGATGGTATTATCCCCACTACAGCTAAGCTGAAAAATTTCTTCGCCTATCTTAAATCTAAATCAAGAATACAATCCTTGTAGAAATCATACACCAGTCCCTATCGGAAACCATTTGTCGTTTCAACTTTTGATTGAGAAAACAAACGTTTCGTACTGGTGGTTTCAACTCCTCGGCTTTTGAATATATGTCAATTATCACCAGCCGTTCACTGCGATACTAGCAATCCAGGAATAATTACACGAAGTTCGCGCACAGGCCAAAACCGTACCTTTAGGTCAAAAGCGCAAGAGGGGAAGGGTTCCTCGAGCTCTCAGGACTACGATTATTATGTAATTTTTTTAAATGTAAATCAGAAATAACATTTTTGAGCTTTTTTATGAGAATTTTTGCATAATCGCTTTAAGTGAGAAATCAGATGAATGAGTGGCTACCACTAGCTAATTGGGTGGCTAAAAAAACCGACATAGTGAGGATTTCAGCTAGTGGGAGGTTCCGCCAAAAAAAGTGGGAGCTTTCAGCTAATTAAGTGGTGCATTAAATTTAGGCCCACTCATTACGTCCTTCCACTCTTTATATCGCCCATGATTATAAATGTATTTGTGATACTCACCCCTCGTTTGGGAATACGTTCGTCGAAAATTTTTATAAATTAGTGTGTAATTAATAAAAAATTCATGACAGTCAGCCACATGCCGTTGAAAAACCTGATCTACAGGAGTGTACACAGTAAAATTTCTTGCCACCAGTTCCGCAAATCCCTTAATCGGTATGGGTGGCAGGGGTGCCGCGATTTTTGAAATGTTCTCCCCCCTGTACGCATTACTTAACACGACTGCGCCCAGAATCCACGGTCCAAAAGTGCAATTTGTATAAATGTAGCTTATCTTCTTGTGACAATCCGAAATATCGATGCCTTGTTCGAGAAAGACCTTGACCCCCATGTAAAACGGGCCCTCCTTAAGGACCAACTTACCTCCGTCCTTCTGCCCAGTCAGAGAGCCACACTTGGTCGTCGTGAATGCCACAAATGCCCCAAAAATGATGTACGTCCCGACCAAGAATATCCAGGATGGGATGTCATACGCAGAAATAAGACCGGAAAATGACATCAATTCTATTTCTGGGATTGAACACGCTATACAATTCAGGACATCTTTCCGCTCAGCAAAAAATATTGTGTCGATGAGTAGCTCAACGCGGGGATGGGTGTGAAGTCGAACGGCGTTTGGAGGACCTAGTGCTGTTAACCTCTTTTGACAATAATCCTGTCTTACCTTGTAATAAATTTCTTCTAGGAACAGATAAGAAGCATTTTTTGAGATAGTGTTAAAAAATAGGATTAATTCTACCCCTAATTCAGCATTGCGAAGGGATTGGGTTAATAAATGCATATTTTGAAAGGTGAGCACGCCACGACGCACGGCATCCGCTAGTTTGTGCATGGTTCCGATATCTCGGCGAGGTTGACGCCCTCTGCCGTTGAGTAGAAGCCAAGGTAGGCTATTGGCGTCCAGGAGGGAACCCTGTTTTGATAAAAATTGCTCCATTTTTTGTGGGGATGAAGTTTCCCAGTTCGTGAAGGGGATCAGTTCTCCGAAGCAGTTCGTCTTACCATTCCGCCAGAGCAGGGATGATGACAAGATGGCGCTGGTTGTTTCTGAAAGTGTGAGAATGCCTACCGTTTGGGCTCCACTGCAGATAAGGTGATCATCCGTAATTGGTATCCAGAGTGACCTGTTGTAGCCGGCGTGTTCTACGAGAACTTCGAATCGATAAGGTTGATAAGTGTATGGTGTTTCGATGCCGATGCAAAATTGGAGTTGCAAATATCTGCAAAAAAAGTTGTTTAATACCAATATTTAAATTATTCGCTCTACCGACTTGGAAATTGGATAATTTAGGCTACATTTAAATATTCGGGGTTTAGTTTCGTCCGGATTTGGTTACTGAAACCCTGTTAATAATTTTACCCGATATAATTCCAAAAATTTTTAAACAGCTATGGAATCCGGAGGATATTTAGGCGATCAGAGTTAAACGGTGAGGTTTGATTTTTTGGCGGGAGAATGTAAAATTGTACGAAACATTGCCAGTTGTAGGTTGAAGAGCGTACTATGTAAGGATATCCCTCGATGGTACCATGATTGGAAAATATAGGTTGACCTGTCCTGGACTCTTCAATCGGGACTATTTCGTACACAATCTGTACCGTTTCATCGTAAAATGTTAAAGTTTCGTCGCCAGTATTGATTGATTTGTTGAACTGATTTGTCCCATTTTTATTTATTCCATTTTGGAATGGTTTCGTCCTTGGCTTCTTCCGAATGACGGTTTCGGAGAGGACGTCGTACCTCGAGAGGACGACAGGATGAGAAAAACCGTCAAAATCTATACCTTCGTAGTTAATCAGGTGAATGAGGCAAGTTGAGAATGGGGTCAGAAATTGGTTAAAGTTGGTAATTACAGATGCTGCCAGTGTCATGCTGCTCAGTAACAATAAAATTGTGTGTAACGAGTCATCAATTTTGGGTGCTTTTGTGTATGTGCATGTAAATATATTTTGGTAATGAATATTCTTTACTTCAGACCAAACGCTGTCTTGTAAAATGCTGATTTATATACTTGAAAACAAGGAAGCATTAGCCTAATTAATTACTTACTTACCAGGAATTAATGTTTCCTGCATGCATGCACTCAGGTTAGAAAATTGCGGAAATCCGTACGGCTGAGTCAAGGTCGAAAGAAACATTTGATTCGTGTCATATGTAAGTTTATTTATAAGTTAAGCATCAAACCGCTTTAAAAAATGCCAGCCAGAATGTCGGGGGGTTCGAGTCTAACATTGTAAAGGACAAATTAATAAAGGTTATTAAATATTTAAAATTTAGTTCTGATATGCATGCATCCCACGTGAAATTTGAAACAGTTCCTGTTTAGACTAATTAATTATGTAAGTTTTCATCTTCCTGCTTACATTTGGTATATTATGTAACAAACTAAAATACAGTAGGAAACCTTCCACATTTGTTTCCATGAAAAAATGAATACCGTAAATAGAAATGTATGCAAGTATACATATTTATGAATATATGCCTACTACATGTACACACATAAAGATATGTATTTTTCGCATCCATTAATACATATACAAAATTAGCCAAGTTTACATATATGTGTACAGTTCTTGGTATTAATTCCAAACCTCTTTACATATTTGTGTTATGGCATGGGTATAAGTGATTTATTTCATTTTGGGCATGGACCCATATCATACATATTCCATTAAATATGAAACCAACTTTAAAATAAGCACACGAAATAAATATCTAATTAAGTACAAATGTAGATATATGACAAGATGTCAAAACAAGGACTTTAAATGCCCACGTTAGTAAATATCTACAAGTTCGGTAGCCTAAGGCTTGAACCTACGTACAGTGTTCATCCAATCCACGTGCACATTTGTAATATCTAAATAGTAGCATTTATTCCTTTCATAAATAGTGCATGTACAGGTACTTATTTATATATGTGTGGGTCATACAGTGTGACATTCATATTGGTCAACTCGTATTCGTTACATGCAGTCCAACCAACTATTAATACAAACCGTTTTCCAAGAAATTTTAGAAAGTAGGAAAGACAGCTAAAAATATGCAGATTACGTAGCCCTTCATACTTAAATTCCAGTTTTTGTGTGTACACTGCATATGTATGTGTGTGCTGTAGGATATAAATAGGGCTGAATGTAAGGGTTAGCTAACCATTTAAACCTTTAAACCCTCCATTTCAACCTTCACTTCTTTGCCAACTCCAGAGCCGGAAAGTTAATTTTCTGCATAGCTCCAGTTAACTAAATAAATTTACGGTTTCATTTCAAGAGAGGCTGCTAATTAAAGAATCAAGAATGACTATTTGTACTATTTCGTAAGTTTTTTTTGTTTGTCAAATATGATAGATTGTTCCCTCTTACAAATATCTTAAAATGTTACTACTTTTCTCAACGTGTAGCCTTCGTTACCAAATCGCCAGCCCGGTGGAGGGATGGAATGTTACCATTCATGGATTGGATAACGAGCGGAAGGAAAAATTTCTTAACAAATTTCCGAAATTCCAGCAGAAAACAGAGGATGTCGCTGTATTTTTGGGACCGGAAGAAGAGCCTACATTTCGACATGGCAGCTGGCAAAATGACGAACCCATCCTTCACATTATTTCCGTCTCCTTCCTCAACACGCTTGCATTTTTAGGTAACAATTGACTTTAATGTGAAAAAATATTTGCCAATATAATCCCAGCACAGTATATTAATGATAATTTGCATATGTGTACATTTTTTTCCCAGGATTCCAAGTGAAGGACTGCATTTCCAAGAGGGACAACCAGACCGGAAAAACCACAATGTGGACACTAGAACTGCAGTAACTTTTTACAGCGATGATACAAAATTTCGACGTTTGCTAGATTTCGTGTGCTTAGATCCTTTCTATATCAAGTAGGTATTCAATTAAATTTTGGGAAGTGTTTCAAAATTAATATTCTTGAAGTTAACATTACAAAATGTTAGTATAATTACGTATTAATACTTTTCTGGAAATAAATCCCACATTCCTGCAACTATCTAAATATATACTGTACTTGCATAATTAATTATTATTTCCCGGGGGTCGGTAACCTTCCCGAGCTACACAGTATGTAACGATTAGGCGCCGACGAAAAGGTACCGAAATGCAACGCTACTTCGTTAATGAAAAGGTACCGAAATTTCGCAGTTAGCACCAAATCAACGCTATTTCATTGCCTACTCATTGGTACTGAATATTCCGTGCGGATTTGGCACCGAAATGTAGGTGTATAATCGGTGCTCGTTAGTGAACGTTGATACCCAACCTGATCGGTACCATTGATAAATTTCGGCGCCGAATCGTTACATTATGGTGTTCAATTTCGTTAGTTTTTCGGTACTAGGATTTGGCAGCTCGGGTTAGGTTTACACTTCAATTAATCACCTTCTTTCTTATTAAGTATTTCGGATACGTTACCGGATACGTTAAAAGAGTAACTTCCCTTTTTAGCATAACATATTAAACTATTCTATGTGTCATATATATATGTATATATGTATGTATGTCGTTCTCTTACATAACCTGAAAAACAAGTAAAAAATTACATGCGGGTAATGTACAGATACATGTTTTTTAATAACAAAGTCTGATAAGTACGTACTAATACTTGCTTGCACCCATATTAATGTGGGACTCTTATGTCTGGGTTAATAAGCAAGGTATTATAAGGTGTTAGATATTATAAGCAATTATCTAGCATAATGATTTCCTCATATTGATAAATATATTTCCCTTTCATCTCGACATTTCAAGTACTTATAGAAAAAATTTCAGAAATTGCAGCCACCTTTAGGTACAATTTAAATGCATAGTTTTCTTGAATCAAGTATGCATGATCTGTGTCAATCTTTTAAATATTCCATAAAATACTTAAAATGCAGAAATTACAACATACCACCAGAGATGGGCCCGGACTAATTTTGGCGTCATCAATTTTGATGATTTTTTCAGAGGCATGACTTCACAATGTTTAAGGAATGGATTAGGAATTCAGATTTATCGACGATGACGACAGCGCGAAAAATGCAGGCGTCACTAATCCGCCTCCAACTACATAGCTCCAATCTTCCATACCACAGTATTCGGCACACTCAACAAGAGTGTTATCGTGTAGTCAATCACACACTCAAAGTATTGTACTTTAGTCTCCTTATTCAAACAAAATAAATTGTTCCCGCCCATCCCAGCATACAACCTGTGCGCCCTAACAGACCTAATCTTCCTCCTGAGGAGTCTCACTTCCCCTCTCAACCCTAGAGCATACCCTCTCCCCTGCAATCTCAAAACCTCCCTCGAATCATCAAACAATTTATGAGTAAGGGGCCACGTAAGATTTACAATCGCCGCAACCACCGCAGATACCGAAGGGTTAAAGACAAACACCATAAACGGCAACAACTTGTAGAAACGTAGCGTAGCAAAATTCGAAAATACAAAGGCAAATAATCCGACCAGCATTAGCGCAATTGTTCCCAGCTCCTGGTATCGCGCGATTGGTTTGTACGCTAGTTGAAGGTGAATATGGGTCCTAAGCAAGCAATGAATTCGGTCCACGTGGTCTATTTTTTGCCGCGAAAGACCAATTCCTTTCGACTGTAGCAATAGGGTCGAGAGGATGTTGTTCATGACTCGCAACCCTGAAAGAAAGAGGAGGATGAGGAAGCTGAAAATGGAGCAAATTTCGAACACATTCATGATCACGACGACATATCGGAGGACGTGAAGGGCCATCATGGCGGGAAAGGTGAGATTTAAAACGGAGGAGATGTCGGTCACTACTAGGTACATTGAATCCCAGCTCATCAACATGTCAGAGACTACGCTGAGGTAGAAGTATCCAACGAAAACGCGAACAGTAGAAAGCAGGGTGATCTTTTCGAGGTCGAAACGCGGTGTGGGATGAGGAACTTGAATACGGCGAATTCCTGTGGATGCAAAAAAAATCTTGTTTTATGCTAAAGATTGAAGCAGGAAGAAATTGCACAACTACTGTTTCCAGGAATTTTTAGAAATTATCCATGTACATAAAATGTGAATATGTGGATAATTAAGTTGAAAACTGAAACTTAATTGAGAATTTTTATAACTGCGGAAAACAACTGTGTTCCACCTTCAAATTGTCTCAATCTGTGAAAATCATATGTTCACAAACAATTCAAATTCAAGTTAAATTTCCATGTACTAACCACAACCCTCAGCCCAGTCCTTTAGATCTCGTTCAATTTTATGCAATTGATTCCACCCAATCGCCGCTCCATCCCCGTAAAGCGTTGTCATTAGATACATCACAAAGCCGAACCAGTTTAGCACCCCTAGAATCGACCTGATCACAACTATGAATAAATGTCTTGATGGGTCAGGGCGAAATATTTGCTGGTAAATAAAGTAGAAAAATGTGGACTGATAAATTATGCTCACGCCCAGCATAAAGTTGACGTGCCAATAAAGGACAGATCTCTCCTTTCTCCAAGAATTTCACTTTCACTCACCCACTGCAACGGAGATTTCGAATAGAAGGTGAACAATTTTTCGTGCTCAGAGAATGCAAGAGCAATGTTTTTTGTCGGCACGTTGTTGGCAGTGGTGCAACATTTGGAATACTTGCGTTTCTTAAATTCACTGTAGAATCGAAATTTATTATAACTATAACAACCGGTTAATGGTAAGTTAAACGCTAAGGTCATAAGTTTAGTAATATGGTCTATCATGAGAGTAAAGGAAATATGCATTTTTCCGTGTTACATATGTACATAAGTACGTCCACCTTATAATATTGATAAAAGTTAAATTATAAAATCAAAATATTTACGTGCCAAAGGTGAATATGCAGTTACAGACGAATTTGATACACACTTATTTTATTTAGCTTGTGAGTTATGTATGTAAGTCGCGTTTTGATTAATCTGACCATGAGTGATACGTATGTAAACTGACGATCTTTATAACATTAGTATATTGAACGAACTGATCTTGAAGGGGTCAGTATTTGATTTAAAGATAGCTGATTTTGTCCACTTGCATTGTCAAGAACCAACGCTGAAAGAGACTAAAGCATTGATTTCAGGCCATCAAGATACACATGCATGTATGTACTTACATACATAATTGAGCCAAATGTTGGCATTTTTATCATAAGTATGTACATACTTACATAAATACACGTAAGCATACAGAAATATTTGTGTTGTATAAATATTTGCATATTATGTAAAAATGTCAACTTTTCTACGATGACTATATTTCTTTTCAATGCAGTCGACATAATCCATACATACATATGTAATTCTACATATATAAGTACGCAACTTTTATATAATCTGAATGCAGCAGTGGTCTATCTAGCGTAGCCTGCTAGAGAAATTATATGTACCAAATACAGATATCTATTTGTGTCTGCCATCTCGGATCAATATGCAAGTTATATATAAGATATACATATATAACTTCCTTCTATAATCTTATCTTATATAATACTTTGCTTGACTTATCAAGTAATTCAAAATCTACATAGGAACCTGCGTACTAATAAACTAGGCAAACATTTTTTTAAAAATAAATACATGCATCCGCTCTTATTGCATCAGTTAGGAATTACTTATTATAGCATCTTCTTCCATTATTTTACTTAAGACGCATATTACACTAAATGTGTTACGACTACATCGCCCCAACTTTCAGTATCACACTATTGGGCACACTTAACAATAACGTTATCGTGTAGTAAATCACATACTGAAAGTAATGCACTTTGGTTTCCTTATTCAAACAAAATATATTATTCCCTCCCACCCCAGCATACAATCTGTGTGCCCTAACAGACCAAATCTTCCTTCTCAGCAATCTCACTTCCCCCCGCAACCCAAAGGCACACCCTCCCCCTAACAATCTCAATACTTCCATAGAATCCTCAAACAACTTGTGGGTGTAGGGCAACGTCAGATTAGCAATTACCCCAACTACCGCCGACACCGATGGGTAAAAGGCAAACACCATAAACGGCAACAACTTGTAGAAACGTAGCGTGGCAAAATTTGAAAATATAAAGACCAACAACCCCATCAGCATTAACGCAATGGTTCCCAATTCCTGGTATCGCGCGATTGGTTTGTACGCTAATTGAAGGTGAACATGTGTTCTTAACAAGTACTCGATTTTGTTCATGAGATCCCCTTTTTGACGAGAAAGTACAATTCCCTTCGATTTTTCGACCAAAATTGAGAGGATTTTGTCCATTACGTGCAATGTTGAGAGAAAAAACAGGATGACGAGGGAGAAAATGGAACAAATTTCGAAAACGTTAATAATAAGGATGACATCTCGGAGGAGATGAAGGGCCATCATGGCGGGAAAGGTGAGACGTAGAAAAGATGAGATGTCCGTCACTACGGGGTACAAAGAGTCCATGTGCATCAATATATTGGAGGCCAGAACGAAGGGGAAGTATGCCGCAAAAACGGGAACGACGGACAGCAGGACGATCTTTTCCAGGTCAAAAAGCGGAGTGGGTGGAGGAACATGGAAGCGATGAATACCTAAAGATAGAAAAATACAATTTTTAATAAATAGAAAACGAGAAGTTCAAGCATTGCAGTTTATTCCAGTAAATTTTCTCAGTGTCAGTGACCGCGGAAGCGTGGGGGCAGAGGGACAATGTCCCCCCACCGTCCACATCATATGTTATACTAACCCCTCCTTCCTCCATCCTTCGGTGTCTCAACGGCTTCCGTGGCCACTGCTCAGTATTGCATGAAAATGTGAAATTATTCACTATAGAATTCTATTTCTCACCATGATTCTCTTTCCAATTTTTCAGGTCGCGTTCAATTTTTTGTAATTGGTTCCACCCAATCGCCGCTCCATCCCCGTATAACGTGGTCATGAGATGCATCACGGATCCGTACCAATTTAGGACCCCTAGCATCGACATGATCACAACTTTGAACAAATGTCTTGAAGGGTCAGGGCGAAATAGTTGCTGGTAAAGAACGTAAGCAAAGCCAGCT